AAGGGCTCGAGCCTGGGATTGCAGACGGATCTGATTCGCGCCTCGCGCGAGAGAATTTTGCTGTGATAGTAACGACGCGTCGCGCTGATATTCTGACGCGGCTATATTTACAGTTACAAGTTGTTTATAATTTTCTCGATCGAAAACTCGATCAGCTGCAGATTCATATTCATGGAACGATAATCAACTCAGATCGGTATTTTTTGTGCAGACCAAGTAGCGATCGACGAATAATTGCAGATTCATGATGCTATGATTGTGTGCCAAATAAAGACAGCTTGTGTGAATACCGGTTTGAATATACGAAACCCTACCTAGAAAACCTTAAAAGCGCGACGCTATATATATAGAGTACGTACACAACGGCATGTTGAAAAGAGAGAAAGAAGAAAAGAAAGAGCTTTTTGGCATGCTGTAGTAAAGCTTAAAAGCGCAGCACAGCAAATATATACGCACAACTTAAGTGTATAATGATTGTGTAATGTAAGTATATATTTATAATATAAAAATATATTACATACATGTATATTGCATATGAATATATGATAAGGAAATATATGAACATGTAGCAGCCACATATGTGTACAAGAAAAAAAAAATATATATATATATGTAATATATATAATGACATATGTAAAAAAAAGTAAAAGGAGAACAGAGCTTTTGGACAGAGCTGGTGGACTGCATGGTATATAGTTTGAAACTTGTTGTGGGAGTGCATCAAGATCGTGCAACGCTCTCGCACACGTCCAAACATTGTGACAGCTACACCACTTTAGAGTGGACATCACCAGACCATCGCTATACATATTACAATTGGAAGTTGGAAAGCGTTGAGAGGGAGAGCGAGGGAGATATCGACTCGCGTTGCGCGCCCGTTTATGCGTTTATCTCCTTTATGATGTTCGAATTTCCATGCATCTTTTTAGCGCGAACCTCGCAGATCAAAGGCCATGAGTGCATCCATGAGCTTCGTTAAATGCTGATATTTCATGTTATATTTACAAGCTGTGAAATAGAGAGAGAATAAGAGAGAGAGAGAGAGAGAGAGAGAGAGAGAGAGAGAGAGGAGAGAGAGAGAGAGAGAGGGGGGGCAGGGAAAAAAGAAAGAGCGTGATTCCATAGAATCATGTAGGTAGCAGCTCGCATGGTTTAGCCACTATTTGCACTGGCTCTAACCAAAATTTGTTCCAAAATTGGGAAAACAGCGAGCGCTGTTTATAAAGAGTATGTGTGCTCTCGCGATGAGCGTTCGATCGCTCTTCAAATCCCGAAGATTGAATTGTCGAGGAGGAGGAGCGACGAATTTCTCGCTGGAGGCCTCGGGGGACAGTTCCGAGCAATACGAGAAAGAGAATGGGGGAGAAAGAGCGCAAGAGAAGAGTAAGAGATGCCTCGCTTCATGATGAATGCGCGCGTCTTCGTCGATTGAATGAATGTGAGGGAAAGCCGATAGGACGCGAGATTTTCAGTGAAGAAAGAACCTTGAAGCGAGCGAGTTATCCGCGGCGCAAGTAGTAACGTCCCGACTGCGGTCAGCCGCGTTGCTAAACCGGCCCTACTCGGTCCAGTCGGACTCATTTCCTGAGAAACGCCACGCGAATAACGGCACTCTCCCTTTAACAATCCTCGTGAATAAAGCATCTCTTCAACGAACGATAACTTATAATTACATCCGCTCAAGGCCGCTCTGGCTTTTGTGAAAAATACCGCGGCGGATTTTGTACACGGAACATCCTGACAATCAGACTGAGATAATAATCATGGCGACTCGAGAGATATCGGTGATAATAAGATCAATTCTACAAATGAAACAGCGTAGCTGAGTTTTCATTTTGTAAAAGTGCAATACTTTCGCAGACATCGTCAATATTTCTTGACGTTGCCGTTTATTCCGCGTCCGAGTGATACGCGGCGTTACGCGTTTTGGAATTTCCGATCGCATTCGACAATTGTCGCTCAAGATCGCTCGTCGTCGATGGGGGTTCGCGCGATTCAGAATTCGCGCACCCTGCACCTGTGGCCGATGGTACCCTGGCGTCCCGACGATGAGTCGGACTCGGCGCTGGGAACATCCCCCACGCGCGAGGCTCATCGAATCGGAACGAAAATGCATAGCTTTGAAAACACAATCGATTCTCCGCGTGGCGCCGACGTTGAATTAATATTCCATGCAGCCGTCGCTTGAGGGTCGACGGACCTGGTGAAACGTAGGGTATACGCAGGTGTCCGTCGTACACGACGGCGACGGCGACGGCGCCAAGGGGTCGTCCGCGGCGACGGTGCACTCTAACACGCATCGATGTAACGACCGACACGCGGCGTCTCCAACTTTGTGAGGGCGACGAGAAGAGTGGGAAGCCGCGAAAGAATGGGAAACAATCGCTCGGGACACGTGCGGCGGGCCGGGGAGCGTGCGGGGAAGCTAGGGGAGGAAAATACGCGAGGGAGCAGGTGAAGGAAAAAGGGAAACGCGAAGATGCATATTTAGATACGCGGACAAAGGTGGACGCATATAAATCGACGGCAGACAGGCCGTTGTGCCGTTTTATTTATAATGAAGTAAAACGCGTTAAGTGACATACGACTTTTCGTGCGGAAGTCGCGGAAGACCCGCGAGATTTCTCGGTATCGCGGGGTAAAAAATAAGCCGTCGTCGACGACGATGATGACGATGATGAACGAGCGATGCTTGTTAAGGATGCAACCGCAGCTTTAATTCGCTTAAGATGACGACGTTGGCGATCCAAGCGGCCGCCTACTTCTCGTAATTAGATTCTTCGAGGCAGCGACCAGGCAGGCAGGTCCGAAGTTTATATCGCCGCGACTAGAACTCGACCCCTCCAAAGTTAGGTGTTAACTAACTTGTAGATCCATAGGATAAGACAGACAGAGAGAGAGAGAGAGGGAGAGAGAGAGAGAGAGAGAGAGGAGAGACATGGGGAGGGAGGATTCGGCGCACGCTGACGGAGCCAAGTTTCGCTCGGTGGTAGATAGCGGTCGGTGGTCGGTCGGGAGCGGTTGCTTGTTTGGTCGTTCGTGCGGCTGTGTACTTGCATTGTACACGCGAGCCCGTGAGAATAATCCCGGGAAAATTGCCGTCGCAATTCTCTTTAGTTACATAAGATCGCCGCATCCATCACTGTCGGCGGAATTTTCAGCCGGCAGTTATTGCGGCTCGCGAGCGATCTGAGAAACGACAAATCCGCTTTTTCCGGATTTCCGCAATCTGAAATTCGAACAGGGGCTTTTCGAGGCCACATCAGAAGACGCGGGATTCTAAGTTGTTTAAATATCCCCTTTCACGTCACGTCACATCGACGGAGCTCATCATTTAGCCGAGATGTAATTTCTCTGCATAATATGAGATGATAAATTGCAAATAGTTTCAACAAGATTCTACCGGCCTTTTCAATCTCCCTTTTTCCACGATCCCTGAAAGCGTCGATTTTACTGTCATATTCCACAGACAGAAAGAAATCCATTCTATAAAAAGATCCGAAATTTCATAAAAGAGAGCACATGTGCAAACTTCTCTTCGTAATATAATAAAAATCTTCGAATTTCAACGGCGATCTGTCTCTGCGAAATAGCTCCGCCGAATTTCCGATCGAATGAAATCAAATTCAAATCAAATCGTCGATGAAGCGTTTTCGCGCATCGTGGCCTCCGGTCTCGAATCGAACATCAGCGCCGCACAGTCCATCGAGATTCAACGCGTCTCGTGTCATTAATGCCTCTCCTACGGCTAATGCACGTGCCATTGGGCTTCCCTAAGGGGAAGCGCGACATGGTCGGGCATTAGGCTCCGCTAAATAACGAGAATGCTATTAGGCTACCGATAAACCTCGACAAACGAAACGTGAGCGCGGTTCATCCCAGCCTGGCCGTCGGGTGGTTTAAGTTCAGGTTTGTCAACGTATTAACGATCCAACACCGCCGACGCGTTATTGTCCTCTCTGCATCATTCACCTGCCGTTATCCAAATATGATTTTCGTGAGTAGAGAGAGAGAGAGAAGGGAGAGGCGGACAGAGAGACGGAGAGAGAGAGCCGCACGATGCAAAGCACCCTCGGATCGTACACACCTTCCTTCTTTGTAGTCCTTCCAACACATGACCAGGATAAAAGAGCGCACCCTCATACCGTGGCGAGGTTCAACATTAATCGAAGGAAGCAACTGAATATTGGATAACCTCCGGTTATCGTGTGAGATGCTTCCCTCTTCCGCGCAACGGAGCTTTCCGAGCAAACTTCTTCCCTCGTGACTTTGGTCCCCGCGCGACAAAAATGCGAGAAAGAACTCTTTGATACCCCCGCACAACGCCCGTCATAAAAACGTATGAAGGAAGTATTCGCGGTGTGAGTGTGCAGGATTTTTCCCGAATCATACTTCAATATGATATTGCTGAAGCTTAATAAAAAATCGCGATGCAAAAATGTCAAGGAATCAATATTTTTGATTCGCAAGCCAATAAAAAGGACTTACTTATCCGTGAACTGAATATCAACAAGACAGCTGAATAATAAAATTGCATTTTTTAAAGTATTTCCCGATAGGATATATCGAAACAGAATTTTAATTGAAAGCTTAGTTGGAGAGATATGAAATATTAAAAGTCGGGAAAAAGTTGCGATAAAAAACAACGACTTCCCATGATATTTCCGCGTTGGAATCTTCAATTCGCTGCGATTGAGCTTTCGAGCAGGCTGTTAACGTATTGCATTTTGGTGTATCCTGTACACTCGCGCGAATCAATCTCCAAGAGAAAGAAGAAAGTGATCTTATAAGTATAGAGCCTTGACATATCAATATTTTTCCAAGCGCAATTTCATTCGCTTGCGAGCACTGATCGGCGGTGAAATATATATTGACTCGTCGCGTCGTAGGCACGAACATACGAACGGGAAAATGAAATTGAAGAGGAAGGGAGAGAAGGGAGAGAAGGAGAAAGAGAGAGAGAGAGAGAGAGAGAGAGAGAGAGAAGAAGAGAGACTTACGGGTTCCATCGAAACGTGTGGCGATAGTATCCAAGAAAGTGTTCTGCGGCGCGAGGAGACCCTTCCTGACTGGCATTGGTGCCGCTCCACCGCGCTGCGAAGCGCACGAGCCTGCAAAATGCGAATAACGCAATTATTTACGATATTATTACTCACATAATACGGTTAACGCGGGCATTTCGACACGAGTCATTTCTGACACAGTGTCAGAACTGTTTGCCAATAAAACACAATCCAATAAATGCAACCGAGCGCACTCGTTCTCTCAACGACCTTTGTATATCTTAATCGAAATCCTTGTTGTTTATTGTTTTATAATGCTATATTAATACAATATATTAACTTTTCGTAGCCGTATTTATTTTTTTTTGCTGCCGCTTAGTTGGACAGTGTCTGTGATAGCCGGCAAGTGTTCTGATATACCTTTTCTCTCTCGCATGTATAATATATTGAATAATTTTTATTATCATATTATTATTTTATACTTTTTATTACTCCTATTGTTATCTCTGTTAAATATATACATATACGCACAGATATTACAGTTTTAAATTTATAAAAGATAAAGAAATTAGTCGCAATCATTATCTTTAGAATCTTTAGAAGATAGGTAACTTACAAAATAGGTAATGTTTTAAATAAATAATGTATGTCTTAATTCTAGACAAAAAGAAATAAAAACTTTTGTTTTCAAATAAATTACCAGATGCCCGAGTTTTTCTCCAAGCGCCAATTCCAATGAATAAAAAATGTGATATGCTGCAGTAGAAGAATTCGATATTTGTACGTGTGAATAGTTAAAAATTCGATAATTACAGGGCTTGAATCTTGTGCTCCGGCCAATTTGACGCATGAGTGCTGAAGTAGATTCAAGTCGACACGCGTAACGATGAAACTGCACACACGGACGATTCATGCCCGAAGATGTGTAGAGAATCAAGAATTTTCAAAAGATAACTCGTTAACACTTCGAGGCTCTTCATTACCGGGTCATTAGCGGAAGTACCGAGTGCCGTCGTAACGCGCGTTGTTCGTCGATACTCTCGACGGATGCCTTCTCTTTACCGAAATCGAAACCGAAAAAACGAGCCGGTCGTTCCTCGTACAGTTTCCCATAGTTGAGGAATCATTGACCGTTCATAGTCGAGTAACCGGGTTAGTACCCGGCGTTGTGTGTGCCTGGCATATCTCGTAAATATATATGCAAATTAGTCGCTCGCGTTATAACGCGCACCTCGGAGCATTCGTGTATTTAATGAATCAATTATGAATTCAATGGAAACAAAGAGCGAGAGAAGAAGAGAGAGAGAGAGAGAGGGAAGCTAAAGAGATAGATCGAGAACAAAGTGGAGGAAAAAATAAACTATCGGTGCGTTCATTCGTGAAGCATCGATCTTGTGTAATCATCGACGACTATCGGTGAATGAAAATTACTCGCGACAGATGGAATTGGAAATAATGCGTTATTCGCGTAACCCGAGTCGTCGAGCACACGTCAACATCGCGCGAAATAACTCGTGATCGACAAATTCTTTTTGCACGGATGTCGTCGTCGTCGTCGTCGATTCCCTCTCTCTCTCTCTCTCTCCTCTGATACCTGACTCGACAGAAATATTTGTCGCAATTCCGTATTCGCGCTTAAAACGTAATAAATATTCAGGAGCGTGCCGTTTAAGTTCTCATGTTATTTGCGCCCATAGAAATTTCCGCTCCTATCTGTGCGCGCTTAATATAAATTATTCTGGTTTTGCGCCGCACCGCGATGCGTGTGTGTGTGTATGTGTGTGTGTGTGTGACGCTATTTAATATCGTTTTCATAACAGCGGCGCGGATCTCATATAGCTCGACGATTTTTCGTTTTTAACACTGGAAACGTGATACCGAGGCTCCCGGCAGTTTGCCGTTAATAACAAAAAATTGCTTACATCCCTCGTCTTGCGAGATCCCTATGCTAAGAAAAAAAATGAACCCGCGATAGTTCCGATTACCGACCGCGTGCCAGAAGACTACAGTCGATCATTTTTGCAGCAAGTGTTGCACTACGGTATTAATGACGACGACTATATATGTACGTAGCTGCCGCTACTTTGTTGCTGGAACAACGAAACGATAATACAGTCGGCCAACGCTCAAGCTAACTGTAATTTGTGCAAGATCGATCATTTTTCCCCTCTCGCTGTATTTTCCGACGGAATCGGCAAACACTCGGTAATCGGGAGAAATATTGCTCCGCGTGGGAGGGAAAAGAGCAAATAAAAAAAGTCATCAACATTAAAATTTGAAATGCAATGTCGCGTAATGTATGTGTGTACCGGACGCTGTTTAATTTCAATAAAGAGTTTCAATGAAGAGTTTGGTATAATTTTTGGTTTGGCAGATCTGTTAGTGGAGATTAAAATTCAGCTTGTTCCCGAGACGGAGACTCACGAGGAGATCATCGTTGGAAAAATACTTTCTCTTTTCCCTCCCCCTCGGCGCCCTCCACCGAGCTCGTTTGACATTTCGAGCGAGGAGATCGCCGGTCGCTCTCTGCGCGCTCGAGCGCGCTGCGTTTTATCAGCCGGCGTTTAAGTGACGATTATTAATTACTCGCGTGCCGCGTTTGCCGAAGCAAATGGATAATGTAGCCGGACAGATGGGCGAGCTGCAAAAAATTATGTTTGATATCCGAAATTATGCTGTGCATTATTATAGGTCACGTTTTGTTGCGTGACTCGACGCTCTGATGATCCGCAGGTCTCCGCAGCTGCGAACAAGAGCGAGCTCGTCGGCAAATTCCGCACCGGCGCCGCGGACGGAGATCTCGTTTTATTTGACTAAGAAGCTCCGTGCTCTGTTCTAACAATTTCGCCCGGGGAAAGCGAAACTCCCGTCTTCGGCGTGCGCACGACGGGAAATCTAATTTGCGACTTTGTCCGGTGTGCATCGCGCGACGCGCAAGGTCTACCGAAGCTGCACGATGCGGTTAGCTCATTTTTCAAGAGCGAGCCAGCGCGAACGAAGAAACGCGTTATTCATTTCGCCGTTTTTCCACCCTCGCTCGTTCGACCAACAGGTTGCTTTTGTCGACGTACCGCACGAGATCTTTCGAGTCGAATTTCGCTGCACCGTTGAGTTTCGATTAAATCGTCATTAACTGCGCCCGACCAAAGCGACCGAGTCTCTCGCGTGCGGGCTTTACGAAAAATGTTCATCAATGCGGCGTAATCGTTATAATTGTCCGTCGCTGAAGGCTCGTAATACTGCACCTCGATTCATTCCACCTTTTTATCTTTTTATCTCGCTGCGGGCAGCGCGAGATAAAATCAGCTGCGAAGCTGTTGTCGTAAGAGAGGTATGCCCTCGGCCTCTCAGTTAAACTAATTTTGCAATATCGCCCATGCTTTGTGCATCGCATGAAAAATGAGCGATCAATAAATTATTATTATCGTTATCATAAATTAAAAGCGAGCGAGTGAATTAAACGCGGTTATTCCAGTATTTCGCGATTGTTCGCGCGCACACTGGGAGGAAAAATTTTGCTTGTTAAATTCGCAGCTATAATCGCACAGCGCCGTAATTGCGGTCGGATAGGCCCAGTTAAACGCGCTAAACGCTGGCATAATGTTATCGATGGTAACTTGACGGTATACCGTATCGCTGCTGTTACTTTTTTACGGGAGCAACGGAAAATACGATCCGCGCGCTGCGCGGATCGTTAAAACTCGCAGCGAGGTGAACGCGATTTTTCCTCCCGCTGTGTATCCGAGATCCGATCGATTCTTCGCGTCGCGACGAAGGCTCCCACGAAGGTCCTCGTAATCTTCCTGCAATGCCAACAAAACATCGTCGAGGACACGGTCGCGCGGGTAAACTATCTCGCGTGACAGCTACTACAATTGCCGACGTTATTAAAAAAGATTAGACGGCGTTATTGAGAACGACAGAACGATCACCCGCGGGACACAATCGCGATCGACGAATGAGAGCACGCGTCCGCCGATGCCCGTCGTCGCCTATCGCGGCCGAGAGAGGCAGCGCACCGCAAAGCACCGCTTCCCCCGGAGCATACCCACCTTGTGGAGAAAACCGGTTGCGCTCACTGCTCCAGCATCTTCAGCAACGAGTCGCGAGTATCACACACCCGATCACTCTCCTTGCAGCTCTCCTGGCAGCCCTTTTCCGCCGATCGAATGCAGGCTGATCGGCTCGGCCCGGCTCAACTCCGCTGCGAGGCACTCGATCGTACTACTACAGGATGACACAAGCGACAGCAATAGCAGCAGCAACAGAGCAGTAGCAGCGGTAGCAGCAGCAGCAGCAGCAGCAGCAGCAACAGCAGCTCGGGACGCGCACCGGCCGCGCGAATCGTCCGCTAGCAATCGCGTAACTGACCGAGCCGAGGGGAGAGATTCCGTCTATCCTGATGGCCCGGGCTCCTGGCTGACTTGCGCCCCTCGCGTCGAAGCGCAACATGTGGTAAACCGTGCTAGATACAGACACACGCGAGCCTCCCGGTTGTATGTGAGGGCACGAGCGTGTACCTTCGTAGTAGTGCACCCTCGGCAACCCGCTCTTTTTCTCTCTCTCTCTCTCTCTCTCTCTCTCTCTCTCGGTCTCTTTCTTTTTCCCTCTCTCGCTCGCTCGCTCGCTCGCTCGCACCTTTCCTGCGAAGGGAGAGAGAAAGCAGAACGAGCAGGGGTTGTGGACGCGCTCGCGCTCGCGCGCTTGCTCCGACGAGCGTCTGCTACCCTTTTGCGCGCGCACGTGTGTCTGAAAAATCTAATACGGTCATTAGTGGGAGCGCCGGAGCTGGGATTCTCCGCTTTTTTCGGGGCCCTATTCGAGGTCCGTCGAGCTCGTTTTTGCTCGCCGCTGATCAGCCACGTGAGCAATCTCTCTCTCGCCGAGGACGTCGTCTTCGTCGTCGTCGTCGTCGTCGTCGTCGCTCGATGCTCGCTAGAGACTCCGTGCGAGAACCGCAATTCGGGGCGGGACTCTATTTGCAATTTTACGTGGCGTGTAATGCGGGTAATAGAGACGAGCTTCGAAAAACTTCGACTTCGGGGACTTCAAGGAGTGTCTCTTTCTCTTTAGTCGCGAATTCGATCATGAATTTTGGGATTGCGAATTACGCGAATCGTTACGGAGCAAGCTTAATCTCGGGCGACCGCGACCGCGACCGCGAATATTCTCCAAGAGAGAAACACCATAATGGGCTTCGTTATGGACATTTATGTACAGTAACCCGCGGCGTAGCCTTAACGCACCGGTGTAATCAGGTTATTAGCATTCTGTAACCATCCACGTACGTTTCTGATATTAGCGCAAAGCTATTACAGTGATAGATTACTACTGCTCGCCGGCTCAACGCGCTACCGCTTCTTTGAATAATCAATAAATGACAAATCAATAATGCGTGATGGAAGATCCTAATAACCTACTTATCTAATCTACATCGTACTCAATATCACAACATAATACTATCGTATCAGTCTTACCATTAAACACTATCATACATATTATCATATCATAGCGCTATCGTATCTAATCTAATTCACTGGAAGGAAGCGAGGAGAATTGATTTCACCCCCGGAGCGCTCCTCGTTTTCAAGCTTCCGAATATTTTTTACGCCACCTGCAAAGCCTCGAATTGCTTCTTTTTTGCTTCATCACACTATTTTATTTTATTGGATCATCAGACCAATCGTACCGTCACATTACCGTATTACCTAATACATTGAAAACAAGCGAGGAGAATCGATTTCATCCCCCGGCACCCGGGGCACCCCCCTCGTTTCCAAGCTCCGGAATATTTTTTAGAGCATCTGCGAAGTCTCGAATTATCTCCTGTTCTTCGCGAAAACGCGCACAGTTTCGTGAAGTGAAATCAACGCAAACACGTGACGTCGATGCTCGAGACAAACTCCAGCGACTCGGCACTGACGGATCGCCGGCTAAGTTACTCCCCTCGCTGTTTATCCGCGTGGCCAGTTATGGGATGGAACATCCGTTATTCCGCTCACGGCGACGTCGTCGCGACGCTTAGCGTCGCGCGCGAGCCTCTTCCGCACGATCCGCGAAAAGAACGCGTCGCCCCCGCGGCCGATATATGTATTTTCGTTCGCCGTTCGGCGTTTTACGACGGTCGTTACGCGCGCGAGATGCCGCGCTTACCTTCTTCTTTTCCAAGGCCGCCGCGAAGGCGCGCCCCGAAGTAAACACCCTTCTCGCTTTTAGCCGAGAAAATCGGATTTCTTATGCAATTTTTTTTCACGCTCGCTGAAATATCGCGTACCACAAGCGAACGGACGCGCGCGCGTGTGAATGTTGCGTGTCAAACGCGAGGCAGAGTTGCGACGAGTTGCGAAATATTAAAGGAGAGAAAAGAGGAAAAGCAAAAGCAAAGCAAAGAAAAATGCAAAGCGGAGGCGGATCGACTTTTTCGCGCACAGACCGACGTCCGCGCGCGCTCGCTCGCACCGTGCCGGTCTATATTGAATAAAGTGTTGCCGTAGGTCAGTTTGATGGTATTGTATGAAGCGTACCGACCGAAGGGGGTCGATGACTGTATTCGCGTGCTAGCCCTTCATGAACAGGTCGCGGCAATCTGCAAGTGTTCCCGATATAGATCGTTCGTCGCGAAGGGAAGAGGAGGAGGACGAGAACAAAGAAAAAAGATGAAAAAACAAGGAAGAGAGAAAAAGAAGAAGAAGAAGAGAAAGATAGAGGGAGGGAGAGAGAGAGAGAGAGAGAGAGAGAGAGAGAGGGGGAGGAAAAAGAGTTCACAGGTCGGATGGGATTTGAAGCCGCGAAACCCGCAACTCGGTTATCATTCCTAATTTTAATACACGCGCGATTCGCCCGAATAGATGAAGATTCGGATAGTGAGCGAGCGCGTGCGAGCGCACGTCGGGAAAGCGATTAGGGTGAAGTACTACTCCGTTGCGTCGAGTCGAATTAAGGACGGCGGGGTAATCTTACGGGGATAAAATATTGAGAGCTTCGCGCGAGAGAGAGCGAGGTTTCGCCGGCGGAATTCACGAATTACTGCGCGGAGGAAAAATCACAGCTCGTGTAATGGGAACCGGACGAGGCGCAGCACTCGATGAAATGAGAAACGATGTCTCGCTGCCACCATGATCGAAGATACTCGTCTTAACATTTAGCTGTACTAAAACTCGCTTGCGATGCAACCGACTGATTGCGAGTAGAAATGTTCTGCAGGCATATTTTTGTTCTCACACGGAGAAGATTGTCGTTCTACCGCTAAAAATAGAAATAAGAAAGAATAGAAGTTGCAGTTTTGCAAATGAAAAGTGACTACTCGCGATTTATTTTCTTCTCTCTCCTTTTCTCTCTCTCTTTCTCTCTAGACAATGGTTATCTACGATAAAGAATGTTTGCTCGATAACAATGTCTTAAAATATACTCGTCACAGATTGTACGAAAGCTCATTATTATATCAAAGCAAGAGTTTTTCTCTCTTCAAGAGTATCATAAAAATTATGCTTTACGTGGAAGGCAAAATGGATGCTTGTTTTAATTTAATTTAATATTTTAAATATATTAGTTTCTAGAATTTGGTATTCTTGTTTCTCTTTTCTCTCTTTCTTTTTTAATTTAACATGTTTGATTAAGATATTAAACCTACTGGGATTTAATATATATTTGGAGTAAACCTGATGGTACGGTGGACTTGTAGTTCATTGTAATAGATTTGCGGATGTATCAACTCATAAAATATTCAAAAGGAGTAACGATTACTTGCAAAAGTGCGACATGTATTTTTCTGTTCTTATAATCGAGTCTTCGTCGGGTCTCCATGCTCTAGAAAATTCCGTTATACGACGGAGTTGTTTTTCTTCACGTAGACAACGAGAGGCGACGAATTACAAATTACGAATTGAAAAGGTGCGCGCCGGCCGACGTTCGGGCACGGCAGGACACGGTAATCGGGATATATTCAGGTTAATCAAGAGCGATAGCGATGCCGGCGGGTGTCGTTAACCCCGAAGAAATGGATGTTTCTGATCCATCAGCTCGTCGCTTCTTACGTCGCTCCAAGGGATGATACATCGTCGCGCCGCGTCGCGTTCTTAGAAGCTGCACGACAGGGAGAAAGGTGAGGACGATACACATCCCACACGTCGAAAAGAATATCTCCGCGGAGGAAACAACCTGCCTACGCGCGTCCAATAACTATCTCAACTACAAAATCTCGTGCTCTAAGAATACCGCGCGTTCGGCTACCGTTCGCGATTATAAAGCCGCGACCTAATTTTAAAAAGCCGCATTCCCGAGGCCTTCGCAGCTTTCAAGCCTTCGCGAACAGACTGTGCTGCGGGAGATTGAACATAATTAATTTTTTCTGCCCCTCCCCCCGTCCTCTTCCACATCCTCGCTTCCAAATATTTTAAGCTAATGTTTATATATATATATATATATATATATATATTCCGTGCACTTGTGTTGCAACGTTCATTTTTAAAATATTCATTACAGAATTTTGATTAATCCAGTCGACGATGCAAAGTTACTCTACTATGTGAGCGTAAGCAGAAATTGCATTTATAAATAAAAATTAATTTGAAAAAATTAATTAGAAAAAAAAGAAAAAAATAAATGACAGAATGTTTATATCTGACTCTCGGATGAAGTTAAAATTGAAGTCACAACCGAGGAAATTATCAACTCTGACCGTTGTTAGACGGCAAATTGCAGAGTTAGAATTGTTTTCCGGACAATTCTGTCTGCCGGTTGCTCGTCGGTTAGTTTAAGCTCAATTGGGAGTGATAAAAGTACTCACGGTAACGGTATGTAACCGCGGTTAAATAAATAAATTGTCCTCCCGTCTCAAGTGTGTCACTTCCGGTCCTCGTCTTCGTGTCTGTAAGCGAGAAATCATACTGTCGTGTCATTCTCATGCCTGCTACAACTCGCGTTGACTCGGCGAGTTCTGGCCGAGACGTGAACTTCGACTTCGCGTCGCGAGCACGGGAGCGAGACTCACAGGAGATAGTATCGCGGGTTTGCTCGTTTTCAGAATGGCGCGGCCAGGATCGATGGAAAATTCGCCGGCGCGATGTCGGTATCGGCGGATTACACGGATAACGGGCTGTATGCAGCGGACAACGCGAGCAGTCACGAGAGAAGCACAGGGGTCCATGTAATCGATATTCCCCGGTACTTACGTCTCGATAGGCAAACACGAAGGCGAAAACAAGAAAGGCCTCGGGGTTGAATAAAACGACAGCCGGTTTGTCCCGTCGCTTCGCTCGAAATAACCGTCGAACCCGGATGAAAATTCATCGGCGCGAGCGGTCACGTCCGCCACGAGTTTCATCTTCCGCAATTTGTTGCGTACCTTTAATTGTTCTCTCTGTCCTCTTTCTCCCTCCTTCCCTCTCTCTCTCTCTCTCTCTCTCTCTCGTTTCCCTCGCGAACGAGCTACCAACCCCTCGGTGTTCGCTTCTTTTTCAACCGTGGTTCACCCGAGGACGGAATTTACGAGCTGACGAGTGTTCGTTTCACGAGTCCGATTTACCCTTGCCGGCAGGTAGTCGCTAATTAATTATTAAATGTCACTTAGAGAAAGAAAAGAAATGCTCACGCGGAAGGGAATGTTTACTCGAGCCGTTTAACACGGCCAAGTCGCGCCCTCGCGCTCCCTCTCTCTTTTTCTCTCTCGTAAATGTCGCCGAGGTATTTTCGGTTAAGAACCGCGTGTGTAACGCGGATCTTCTTGGAATAAAAGTCTTAAACGTGAGACCACGGCCACCGCCGCACCGGCGGCGACGCACCGCGTGCCTCGTAAATTTCGAGCTGCCACGGCGGTGATACGCGAACAGATACACGCTGGGACTTCTTCATACATTATTCAGGGGAAAGCCGACAGATAAAAGAAAAGAGCCGCGCGATGTAAATATTCGTGTGTAAAAAAGAAACCGAGTAGAGGTCGGATCACACACCGGCGAAACCGCGCGATGAGCGTGTGCGGCTTCCTCCCACAGGTCCCCGGGAATCCCCGCATGTGCGATCACTTATTGACGCGAAAGCCTCGCGGTCAAAGGGCAAATCGCAGCGTGCGTTTACATACCCCGAGCGACAGGCGTGTGTTATTTAGATTTCATCAAAATTAGCGGTCTCGGGGTGGTTCCGCGGCACGAACTTGCGTAACGAATTAAAGCGGACGCTCGCGCGGGACCACTTGGCGTCGTCTGCTGGCGACGGATAACGAGATTAAGTCGCCAGTTACGAGCGCGTTACGAGCGAACGGGTTCGCGAGATCGTCGCCGGGAGAGAGTCCTCTGCGCAGGAGCTGTTCTTCGCCCGTGTGAAACACGCTCCGTCGCGCGGGTGCAATTGAAAAGCGTGGAAAAGCGAAATTGGGGAACAACGCGCACCTCTCTCTCGAAATGAGGAGCGCTGGCGCTGACGATGACGAGTTACCTTCTGCCACAGTTGGAAAAGTTACTTTTTTTATTCGGGAACAAGGTAACGCTGTTGCTAAATCGTTATTGCAAGAGAAACAATTTGTTACCATTACGTCCCGGTGCTACTCTTTTCGACGTGTAACGAATCTGCGAGGATCGGAAAAGTTTCCTTTCCAAGACTAACTCGTCGTTACCACGTTACCCACGTCGGAAAAGAAATACGATACAAAGAAATGCGATAAAATGCAAGAAATGCTAACGTTACAGCTATCGCTACTGATAAGAAAAATAACGTCGTTACCAAGTCGGTAGTGAAGGAAAAAAGTAACGACAGCGCGTTACTTTTCAATGCTACTTTTCCGATACGTAACGAATAACGATGACGAGCGCGACTTTTCAAAAAGTAGTTTTTTCCGATCTCAAGAACTCGAGTACCTTACCATTCAAGAGAAAGAGAAAAAAAGGGAAGATATATATATATATAGAGAGAAAGAGAGAGAGAGAGAGAGAGAGAGAGCCGGACATTGGAGGAGATTATCGCCTCTCGTTATCGTTCGCCGCTCTCCCCGCGCTCGCGCTCATGCCTGTTACCATGCTTTGTAGCAGATAACGCAACGATCGTTCACCATCGGTCTTTATCACCGTCGTCGGTGCGCGAGCGAGCGAGCGAGCGAGTAGCGATCCATCGATACCACTGCTGTGTGCCCAATCCCGAAACTGTGTTACGCGGGCCGGCGAGCCGCGCGCGCGGCATGTCCGCGCGCCCTTAATATCGCCAACCCCGTTTCCCAGCTGTATTCCCATCCGAGCTCCGGCGCAGCTCGCGAATGGTGCCAGGTGCAATGACTGGTCGACGTAGCGACATTAAACGCCACCGTCTCAGCTGCACTGCCGCATTGCCGATGTCGTGCCGGCCGTAACCGCGGCACGCCCGCTGTGTACGTGCGCTCTCTCTTGCTCTCGCTCTGCCTGCCTTCGTCCGTCCGCTCTTTTCCACCCTCTCTCGTGCACGGTTTCACAGGCCACCGACTTTCTGAACCTTAAGGGGTGGACGACTTATCGACCTGATGTGCTAGTCAGGCCTACCACCCTTAATCCCGCCGGTACTTCAATCACGCGTTCCGATAAGCGTTCGGAAATTGGACCGGTCTCTCCTTCCTCTCACGGCCTTTCCTCGTCCTTTTCAAACATGCGCCGCTGGATAACTCGTTTCCCTCCGTCTTGGCAACCTCCAAAATTTATATATATATATTTTATACATACATACATACATATATATATATATATATATGTATATATACACGGCTAAATAAACATTAACCTTTTACGATGACGCTGTCTGACTGCCGAGCAGGACGTCATCCTGGGGGATTCAGCGCAAATTGCCACGTAGAATTGTCCTCGTCGCGACGGTAGATCCTCGCAATTAGCACCGGAGAATCTGTTGATTCTCTCGACTCTTGGAGCTCTCGAGGCGTTGAGAGGATGCCAAAGTCCCGTTAATTAGCTCACCACACACTCTCAGACGGGTTTCGAAATAAATCAACAAAAACATTTACACGGCCTTGCCGGTCTCTCGTTCGAGCTCATCGTTGTCGTTCGTCTCCCTTTTCCTTCGCCAGGACCGAGGGCGAACGATCTAGTCGACGTGAAGCACGGCGACGAGGATGTCGACGAGATCGCGATCGCGCGAAATTAGAACGCCGCATTCGCGTGAGTCGGCCGCTCTCGCCCGCCTCTCCTGATGGGACATCAATAGGAATAATACAGGGAACTAAGCGACGCGGCGAAAGGTACATAGGTAGAGTAGCGGAGTGTAACGACCTTACACCCCCGCAAGTAGCGGGATCGATGGTCTCGAACTCCGGGGGCGAACTCTCATCCGTGCGGCTCGCGGCGCGGCGACCCCGACCGTTTCCGCCGTTCGTGGGCTGTCCTACTTTTCGATCACGTTTCACCGTCGCCCGTTGTTGCCCTCTCTGCTCTCGCCCTCTCTTCCTCTCTCACTTTTCACGTCGTGTCACAGGTTTGCACGACTCGACATCCCGCCGACGGGCTCCGCGACGTTTCGCCAATACGCCGTGACATACGATCGTGTGTCCGCGTTTCCTGCACCGGCCGCGATTTTCGAGAAGGCAATTTGCCCTTTCAGATATCGCCGTTTCGCTGAATTTCTGCAGAGGAACTCGATCTACGTGTGAAGGAGCGGTGGTAGGAGAAAGAGATTTTCCTGTACAGATCGTCTATAATTAAATAAAAGCAATATTGTGAACGCGACGTTAACGATATAATAGAGCAGCACAATTATACTCGCAGATATTCTCTGAAATTCACGGAATCGCACAAAGAACTATGAACTAAGATTTTCTTGGACCATGGAAAGTAGACTGACTATTTTCTTTTTGCCGTCATGCTTTTGACACTTATTACGGACGGTTACGACAATTTGGGGCTCCAATAACGCTCGTCCGTAAAAACACTTCGTGTTTTATTTCGTATTTTGTATGTATATATTATTACAGGAATATATTGTTGCGACGTGCGAACGTAACGATTTGTATGTGTGTATACGGTTTATCGTGCGACACTCTCGCACCGCAAAGTACGCATCGTGCGAGCGCTCACCCGCATGTGGGACGGCACGTGTGTGCTCGTGCGTGACCTATTGCTCATTAACGGTAAAAAATCTCTTGCGCGTCGACGCAACGTAGGAATGGAAGGTGCTGAGAGCGCGGATATGTAAACGTTTCACCCGCTTGCGGAGAGACGATCATGCTCGGTCCGCGGAGATTATGTACACTCGATCACCACGACGCGTCGGAGTGTATAATAATTGTATAAAAATTCGCGAACATATCACGTCGAGAAAATCAGCCTATTGAATAGGAATCCTGATTTCGATTTGCGACGACGATGAATCTTATCAAATCACGAGTTTTCCTCCTTTCCCTTTCTCAAACGCGCGGACAATTTTTGGCATTTTTTTTCTCCTTTCTTCGTGATCAACGGGGACTCGCTTTGTCTCTCTTTCTATCTCTCTGCGGCAGGCAATCGACGATTTACGCGACAACTGCAACGAGACGGTATCCGTTATTATCCGATACAGCGTCGTCGCTCAACGAACAAAAACAATCGTTGCGACGCGACCTCTTTCCTTCGTACGCACGATGGCGTTCAACAGCCAGTATATTATGCACACCAAACATAGCTCCGCGCAAATACACGTTTCCGCGATATCTCCATCGGTGCACAACCTATGGATTTCCGTTTTCCGTCGCGTAGTATCGGCAGTTTTTCTGTGCAAGTATTCTGCGCGTTAAATGCTATGTAATCGATTGCTCATGATTCAACAGAATTCACTATCTGTAAGTAAAATTCATATTCACGATGCCGCGGCTATAATCTAACACGAACGAAGACAAAAACGGAGAAACCGGTATTTCTTTTTCTCATATTAAAACAAAAATGTACAATAAAAAATATACGTTACGAACGTGAGAATCATAATATATGCGTAATATATGGACAATTCGCCGTATATATCCGCCAGCGGTCTCGCATACGACGTCGTTCTCGACGAACGTTCAATTTTCTTTACAACACAATTAGTCAAACTCCTCTCGAGTTGACGAGATAAATTTTTTACGTTTAAAAGCGAGGATCTATCACACTAATTCGACTGCTCTAAGAGACGAGTCGGGAGATGGGTGGCTGCTGCTGGGTGATTTTGTTTCGCCCGACTGTTTCTCTTTCTTCAGGTTACTCTACACAAATCTAACGTTAATAACGTACTAGAAAATTATTATCCCGGTCTATATGTGGCTTCCACCTTCTCCTGCTCCGATACTAAAACGAAAATGAAAATAACTAGTCTCACATGCAATTCTGCGTTTTGAAGGTCGATGAGCCGCCGGAAAGCGGGCGGCAACTGCGACTCGTATTATGCGGCTATCACATGATGCGTGCGTTAAGCTCTAACGTAGTCGTCCTCAAGAGTCTACATGTCAAGGTCGAAGATCAGATCGTTTTTGAACTCCAGCTGAACGATGTCATCCTTGGTGTCTGTGCCCGGCGCGTCGGACACTTCCTGGGCCTCTTCCTCTTCTTCTTCTTCCTCCTCCTCAGTTGGCGATGGTTTCTCGTCGACGTTGGATTTACGTTTATGCTGCAGCGGATGCTGGTCGTTCGTGTTCAGCTTCGCGATTTCGATATTCGCGGTCCTCTGCTGCCCCGATTGCCTGTCACGCGTGAGGATGGGTTTCACGGCGTCGGATGATGCCTCTTCGCTCGGGGAGTGCTTGTGGTGCGGCGTCTTGTTGTACTTGCCTCGCTCTTCAGTTTCAGAGTTCTCGCTCTCGCTCATTCGTCGCTCGTGAGCGCGCTTTTTGTTTCGCAGTTTACGCTGATTCTTCTTACGCTGCCCGAGAATACTAGAATTGGATCTGAAAAGAAGAAAAGGTAAATTAATAATCAGTTCTTGGGCGACGTCGTTTCACGATTGAGCTAACTATAAAATATGTACAAGCTTAAATATATCTTTTTGCTTCAAACATTTTTTTAGAAGTATCTTTCTAAAAACTTTTGATATTCTTTCTTGTTCTGAAACTTTCTAAAAGTTTCCTCAGGAGCGATGATGAATCTTTTTCTCTAGTGTGAAACATTTTCGAATTTGGAAATTGGGCCATTTTTCACAAATTTACATTGGAGGAAAAAATTTACATATATAATCTCTCGTCTCTATGATATCTAAATTATAAGTACTAATTACAGATGAGATAGCAATTATAAATAAAATATTAACTATGAAATATTTTAATGAAATAGCTTAACTATAAAGATAAAAATAATAAAATTGAAGTTAAACGACTATGAATGACCCATTCAATCATCGCAGTACCTAAACAACTGCCGCGATACCACGTCGTTGAATCGCACGGTCTTCTTTAAACTGGAGCAATCGGACTCGGAATTGATGTCTTGCACAGAGTCGTAGTGGTAGTCCGTACACGATGCCGGGAGGCTATTCTCGTCGGCGCTCGATTCTGAGACGGAGCGCGAGAAGTCACGGACGCGACGCGATTTCAGTATGCCTTTCGAGTGCCTCGTACTATTGTTGCTGTTCGCCAATTCATCTCCGCTGCTCTCCGATACCGATCTCGACTTCTCCGCTATGCGCGCCTCCTCTTGCCCCTGCGCGGCGATAATCCTCACATTTCCGTGTTCCTCTTCGTCGTCTGAATCCTGCTGAGTCGGACGGATATCGATGATAACACTGTCACCCCGCGGCGCTATGGAAACTTCTCTTTTCGTCAGAGACTCGTTCTCTGAAGAGGCCTGTAAAAATAATTTATTTGTTAAAGACGATATAAAGAATTAACTTCGTAATCTGTCTTTGAATATTTCTCTGTTTACCAATATCCCCAGCCCCAGAAAATATTAAAACGCTTCAAAATGTCTTAGATCCGTATTAATAGCCGTCATTTTTAAAACTTAATTTTACTTAGATTAAAAACTACTCTCATGTGAAATAGATTGGAATTTAGAGTTAGTTTCTTGTATGAATCACATGTATGTGAAATGTTATATTCCACGTAACCACGATTCAGCTGAAAAATTCAAATCTAATTTCAAGTAATGTAAATACATATCTATGAGACAACTTTGAGGCATAAAGATATTTAAGACTTATATTAATATTTTTCTTAGCATGCACATATGTATGTATGAGATTGGAACATGCCGTACATTTTTTTCGAAGATACAGTCAACGTATAACGTACCATGAAATTCCTAATAAATTACCATTAACTCTTGGAACTTGCTCCTAAACGAGGCCGCAGTAGGTAGATCCTTCTCCTCCATAAATTCCGTGTCTAATCCAGCGGAATATTGCTTCACATTTTCGATATCCCTCACCGTGATGCTGAATACAACATTATTGTCCCACGGTTCAATCGCCAACGACTCCGGCTCGACGGAATGATCACCTATCTTGAGACACAGAGAGTAGTGTTGCGGGAAGAAGCCAGCACCCACGGATGTCAACAAGACATGCAGGCCTGCATTGTTCTCAAGGATCTTATGACATATCACATCGGGATTTACATTTTTTACATTCACAGTGATAGCTAACTGATTATTATAAATGTTACAGGTGTACGCAGGGAGATTGTACTTAACGCTAGAATTCATAAATGCATCAGCTGTCCCAGTCGTGTCACTAGTCCGTAAGACGGTATTCGCGCACTTCCTTATCGCTTCACTCGTCTGGTCTAATTCTTCAGCTTCATGTATGCTTTCACACTTCTTAATCAACTCTGCTTTGTTGTCGGGCACGTTCTCCTTGCCAACGTCTTTGGATATGGGGCTGCTCTGATCACTGTCAACTCCGCTGTCCACTTTGGTGTCAATCGTCGGCACCAGCGACCGGATTACCGGCAAGGTCACGATTAACTTCTTGTACTTTGCATCAAATTTGGCGTTACCACTGTCTCCGTCCACGGGATATGGCAATGGCAAGTCTAGCAGATACTTGGCAGGTTTCTCACTCTTCAAAGTGAGAGACCGCTCGTGTATATCGAGTGTTGCATCGTTGGCGCTTTTCAACAATGGCAGATCAACTGTAACCACAAGTTTCTTGGGAATCGCGGCATATAGCTTGGCATCTTTGCCGAGACAAAAATCTTCCATCTCCACATTGGACTGATGCTTAACGGTGAACTTGGGAGTGACATACTTCTCATCCAATGCCTGTTGCTGCTTATTCTTGTAATACGTGCTAACTGGCGCAACACGTTGTGGCACCTCCTCTTTTGTCTTCAAGCATCTCTCACGACTTTCATCGTAGCTAGTCGTCAGCTTTTGGTAGATTTCTGAGTCCATGTCCAATGGCTCCTTTGGCGGCTCCTCGGACGGTCTCCTAATGACTGTAGGATGCGACACTCCTTTGAAACTGATCTTAGGGAACTTGAGATTCTTCCTATCTAATTTCACCTAGCAAAGGGTACAGAGAGAGAAATATAATAAAGATGCGATGACACTAGACAGGCAACATGTAGATGTATTTCAAGCAGACACAGTTAAAACACACAATTCAACTGTAGCGTACAAACCTTGAAGTTGTTCTCCACACCGTCCATCGCTGTATTGTTAACGATTTCACGGAAGCGAGCGTTCTTGGATGCCAGGTAGATGGTATCCGGGTGGAAGACCACGTCAAACACCACACAGCGCACATTCTTCTTGTCAAGGTCATCGCGAGGCGGTATCAGCGTATATGGAATAGACCAGTGTAGGCCACGGTGGCCCTGCTCGTAAGACGGCTGACTGGTCGGCCGTGCAACCACGTCGTTCTTGCTGATATTCAGGAAGCACTTCCTCTCGCCGTTCACGCTCGTTTTTATGACGTAACCAGGCTCGGGGTTAACGAACGTCACGTCTACGCCCCGTTCCTTCTCGAGCTGGGTGATCTCCTTCTCGTAGGTCCGCCTGTTGTCCGGGTCGCGTACCTCCTCCGCGTATTCGATCAGCAGTTTGCGAAAGTCCTCCTTCTTCAGACACTCGGTGATATTCTGCAACTCGTCGCGCGACACGTCCAAATCCTCCCAAGCTTTCCTGCGAGACTCGAATACGTCCATCTTACGATGCGCGTATTTACAAATAGTCCCGTCGGTAGAACGATCGCGAACAGCGCATCGCACGTGGATCGTCGCGCCACCGCACCGGCCGGTGTCCGCACCGGCTGGGCTGCTCGATAAGCCGTCGCGGATCCGCCGTGCTGTGTCGCGCCGCGCGACCTCCGCCACTTTTGAACGCTTCTCTCCTCGGACAGCTCCGGCTTCGGGGATATTATCTTATTCGCTCCTTGTGCTTTCTACTGGACGAATTTTCCGTTCTGTCGCGAGTGAAGATATCTTCGCACACGGATGGTGGCCGCGAAGAGTCCCCGTGTTTCGCCTGATCGTGAGCCTTCACGACGATGAATTCGGCGCGTAGCCGATCCTACGAAACGATCTCGAGCTTCTGAGATGTTGATAAAGAGACGCGATCTCTTGTCGGGGTCTTTCCCAATCAATAATGACAAAGCTTCGAACGAGAGGACGAAGAGATACCGATGAAGAAGCGAAAAAAAACTTCCGTATCTCTCTAACGAGAAGATAATTCGCGTTCCGTTTATATCGAGAGCCACTCGACTCTTCAATTTCTCGACAAATTAAAAGAATCGAGATAAAGACTTTGCGATATATTAAACATAGTTAACAAGAGTCGCATTGCTGCTCTTTCCTCGGCAACTTTGACCGCTCCGCTACGAATGTTTTGTCACGCGACTCGGACGTGAGTCACACGTCACACGTCTGAGCCTACGACACTCGTGCAGCGTATGGTACATGCATTGGAAAGTGAAACGTTGCGTTTCACCCGATCGGCCGACCGGTGGGGGTCGTAGGCTATGGTGAAGACGTGGGGATCATGCGGCGGTTTGCAGAAGTTGACCTACTAACATTCTCCTCAGTTACTCGGTACGGCCGAACGGTCTCGTTAATCCAAGTGCGCTCGAGCAGCACTCTCGCTGATGCCGCAGCAAGAACAACGGACTTCGTGTTCACCAAAATGCGCAGGAGCCGCGGCCTTCTGCTGTGGTTACCGACGTGCCTGGCCGTGGTCTTCGTCGTCCTGACGATCGCGAGGTCGTCCACCGAGCTGCTTGGCTCCGCTCTGCCCGCCGTCGAGAAACGCGGCGGCGATGCGCCGTGGGAATCGCGCGGCGACGATCGATGGGTCGCTCGCAGCCAGGTGAAGTCGTTCGGATCGTAGTGAATGTTAAATAGAACAACGCCTGATAATGCGTATCGGTGGGTTAACTTTCGACAGCGATATCCGTGCGCAAGCGTGGCTCCCCCTCGCTATCAATTGCCAATCGCTTTTGCATCTCGTGTCGTTGTGGCGAATCCGGCGAAATTCCATCGTGATTCCTCGTTCTACAAAGAAACGAACGTACTGGCTTTGTACTAATTGAAATCACTCGTGTAGCTGTTCCATCACGCTGCAAGTACTCACGAACTGTTAAAGCACCTGAGACATTCAGATCTGAATTTAAGATTCGATTTGAGCTTTTCATTTGAATAACATAATCTGCCTATAAGCGGCATTACATTTGTAATTGCAATTGAGCTGAAAAACTCACATTTAACTCCAAATTTAAATCAGAGCTTTTCAACTGAATTGAAATGAGTGCAAATGTAATGTCGCACATATTATATGATTCAAATAAAATATTCAAATCTAATTCACCGTTCAAATTTGAGTTGATTTTGTCTGAAGTAAGTTTCAAGTCAATACATGCCTTAAAGAAATGCATTGAAAAAAATTTTTCAAACAGCTTTCAAGTCTGTAATCTTTAAGACATCTTTTTGAAATTGCGCTGTTTGGATATACTGTTATACTACAAGTGTGTTATGTATAAATTATTGGTATATAATTGGTAGATAACAGAAAAAATGACCTAAATAATATAATCTTTTAAACAGCTCGTATTAATTTCATTAGAGAGCACTTGGAATTAACATACTTTCAAATGCGCACTGAATCGAGTCACGTAACGCTCCGCTAAAATGCACATTCGCGTGGAATTCGTGCAACAATTCTGCGCCGGATCGTTGCGTACGCGAATTCCGAAGCGGCGAATGTAATTTCGGAGAGCAATGTGTTGCAGATGACTTACGTTTACGTAACATGAGAATGCATTCTCCGAGCGTGAGACGAACGCCTGAGCGTGAGTCCACCACCGAGAGAGAGAGAGAGAGAGAGAGAGAGAGAGAGAGAGAGAGAGAGAGAGAGAGAAAGAGAGAGAGAGAGAGCATATCTTTTATGTTACACCGCGGTCGCGTGCGATTAATTCGAACGACACTCGATCCTCGTTTCACCATTCACCGAGACAAAATGATCTTGAGAATCGAACGCAAGGTAACGTTGCTCCGCTACTTTTCGCGACACGCGAATTGCGGAGGTGCGTTTAAACCAAGACTGGCAAGTAACGCGTTACTTGCCAGTCCTGGTCACGTCGTTGTTGCTACGAGCAAACATCGAGTAACAGTAATTTTACATGACTGTTCTAATTTCTCACGCAACAATACTGTTGAGGGGAAAATTATAATATTGGTGTAATGTTACTGTTAGTTGAAGTTCACTGGCAATTTATTGTTTTCAGTGACACGACTTGGTGACGAAACTATTTTTCTTTTTATCAGTAATGGCAATTACCTTTCCTTGGATAACGATGATGAATGTAATCATTACTTTACAACATAAAACACACGCATATATAATGAATAGAAATGAGACTTGTATATAAACAAAAATCGCATCGATTCGTTACTTCTTCGGCAAGAATAACGGCGACGACAGTTGCTTTTCAAAAATAACTGCCCAGACTTCGATTTGAATAATTATTATGACTTACACGACCATTCCTCGATTGTCGCACAGGCTCGCCGATACGTCACGCCATCCCTCGCCGAACTGAGCGGTCGTGGACGCTTACCGTACATGCACAAACACGTACTTATGCTGACGCGCATACCTGGCGCAGGTGCCGAGCTGATGGTACTGATCCTGCAGCGTCTGCAGGGTTACAACGCTTTCAAGCATATACGCTTACCAGCAGGTGACCACGGGCTGCTTTCGACTCTACAGCAAGTGAGTATTAGCCGAGAATGAATTTCTACCTTGAGTTCGACTGCACGAGCCTTGAAGAAAGAGGAAGGGAGAATTATAAAACAAAATCATAAACATAATCTTCAATAATAATAAAAGATAAAAAATTCTCCGTTCGACAGGAGTTGCTGGTGGAGGAGATGACGAGCATCATCAAGCAGGAAGCCATTCCCTTGAGCTTCGACGGGGACGTGAGGTTCCTGAATTTCTCCGAATTCGGGCGACAAGGACCGAGTTTCATATCTCTGGTGCGAGACCCGTTGGACCCGCGGATCTGGCGAAGGTATGTACTTCATCGTCGCATCGTTCTTCAAGATTATATGACGAGAACATATCAGGAGTTATTGAAGTAGTCCAGTCTAAACACGAGCTAATGGAGAACGCGTTAATGGAGTCGCTTGTAAAGTGACATCTTTGATATTGCTGTTATCATTATTACTACTAGTCAGTCGCTCTTAAAGCTCTAAACGAGATAATACATGATGCGCACGATGGTTTAGGTACAGCAAAGGAAAGGAAAGAGTGTTCTACCGCGGCGCCATACCTCATTTCTGCGGTCAGGAACCTCGCTGCACGTGAGTACAATAACATGTCTACATCCTGGTTTGAATATAAGCGAGTCTTCATCATCCGCGAAATTTTATGCAACACGCTTGCACACCACGTGCGCGCGGGCGCTTTAGTAATTCACACCCGAGTGTTATCGCGCGATTGAGAATCGCGCAAGTGTCCTGGAAAGAAATATAACAGCCATTACTAATATGATTTCATTCGAACACCCATCATGGAAGAATGGCGAATACTTGCGCGGAGAAAATAAAACTGCTATTATACGATCGACGCTATTCAACGATAACAATGCTTCTTTTACAATATATCGCAACTGTAATCATTCGTACGATTTCTATTATCATCCAAAGAGACGCATTGAATCGGCAAAAATTGCTATCAAAGCAAATGTCCCAATTAATGAGCAAGTAATCTTATCGTGAGAATAAATCGATAAATTAAAAATATACGTCTATTGTGACGGATAACATATAAAACCTAAGATAAGAATACATTTTTGTGATGGAAGAGCTCTCGTATCGGTTGATTTATTAAAGAAAACGAGTGCACATTTGTTACCAAATGGACGCTATCAACAACCAGAACATTCACCTTAGGTGCAAACTGATATATTTTCCCTTTTTTCTTTAGAGAACGGAACAACACGTGGGCGTTGGCGCGAGCGAAAGCGAACGTTGTTCGATGGTATCCCGTCGTTGGCATATTGGATTACATGGAAGAATCGTTAAACGCACTCGCGCTTGAGTTTCCTTATTTCTTCAAAGACGCCGTTCGTATTTACAAGCAATTCCGTGAGTATATCGCCGATAAAATATTTATTATATAGACGCGAGACGCTTCTTTCCTGCTGATTCAACATTACGTTCTTGTCGCTGATAAATTAGTTCTTTCGCTTTGCAGGACTGAAGGAGAAGCGCCCCACTGTCTCCACGGTGCCTTTCAAGTTACGAGATAGAAATGCGTCCCTACAAATGGCTCTCGCGCTAGAAGTGGAGTTCTATCAATGGCTCAAATCTCGATTGTTCAACGAGACTTTTAAAAATGGTTGATGGTGCGATCGTTTGGTCGGAGGAGTAGTCTAAAATCGAAATCGAGACTTGAATGACGTCAATTGCGTTATCGCGTTAGAAAGCAGTGAACTCTATGGTATACTAGATTGAGCCTTCAAGAAAACGAATAGATGTTGGATGGGTTGCTATCTTTGTCAGTTGTACTTTCAGAACCTTAAATGAGATATGTTACTGACAAAGATGAAGTAACTTATCCAATTATTTATCTCTTTGAAGACTCACTTTAGTATACTGTAAAGCTCACTGTTACAAGGAGAGAGAGAGAGAGAGAAAGGGCGCTTCTAGAAATCACGATTTTGTTATTAGTGTAGCCAAGACTCGTAAATATGAGCCTGCCGTGCCATCTAGAAACTGAATATGTGATTAATGTGTACCGCTTTAACGCGGGCGATAAATCGTCGCAATTGCAAGAAAGTGCACGCGACGAAGTGAATTCTCGCAAAACACAGCTGCAATCTTCTTTTCTTTTTTACGTCAATCTATTTTAATAGTCGTCGAATAAATACAGAGCGGTACAAAGAAATGCTTCATGTACACGTCATTCCCTCTCCTCGATTCCCTTCACACACATATGCACACACATGCACACACATACACATACACACCACTCTGGCTCGCGCGTGTTGCATCAAAGATAAGAAATGCAGAACGTGACCCGAAGAAGTTCGCTAATTATGTACACAGTGATAATCGTGAAAATGCGGCGCCGCTTCTGCGCTCGCAAGAAACACATTACTCGCTAAGAGAAGACACAAAGTCCGTTGCTATTTTAAAGTTTCACGTCGCCCTTTTAGCGCCGTAATTTTCAACAAGAAGAACATTGAATTACTTCGATGAGACGCGTCGTGTGCAATATAATCATAAGAGCACGATAGACGAATGGGACGGGAAGGGAATCAATAGAAAAATAATTGTCACCGTCGTGTGATCGTCGTGAGAGACGCTCCGCAATGTATCACGCTGCAATGTATAACGCGAGTAAAAAAGAACTCAGGGAGGATCGGGAAGCGAGTCGGACTGATTGACGCGTGTTTGATGCGTGCACCAAGACAGCAGGATCATGTTGATGTACAAGTGAACGAGCAACAACATGAGAAACGCGTGCCATCACTTCTTCTTCGCATCCTTTAATCCAGCGCCCGCGTTGAATTTGAAGAAGATAATATCACCGTCTTCGACCACGTAATTACGACCCTGTTGCCTGTATTTTCCGGCGGCCTGTCGACAAAGTGGTAAGAGCGTGATAAGCGGATAAGAGAAGTTGTGTGTTATATAATAACTAAAATGAGAATTATCTCGTCTTCAGCACCTTGACTGCGGCCTCCGAACCCTCGTTCTTAAAGTCGTCAAATTTCATTACTTCCGCCATGATAAATCCCTTCTCAAAGTCCGTGTGTATTTTTCCAGCAGCCTGAGGTGCCTTCGTGCCTTTCTATACAACAAAAAATAAATCTCAATTTAATTATAAATCTTATCTAAACATAGATATTATATTAGGAAAGATAAATCAAATATTAGATCTGTAATTAGATAATGTAAGTTTAATAAAGATAACATTTAATAAAGATGACGTAATTTTTTGTTTTTTTTTTTCGTATAGTATAGGACATGATTCTTTTAACATAAAAATTATATCATAATACAAATTATGAACAATAACATAAATTAAATCAAGATTTAATTTACCAACACTAATTCATTAAACATTATGAATTTGTGCTTACCTGAATCGTCCATGCTTTAACTTCATCGTGACCAGCCGTGAAGAAATATTGCAATTGCAGTGCCTTGTAGCCTTGTACAATAATTTTATCGAGTGCACTGTTTAGGAAAAAAGACATGGTTGATACAGATTTGCGACGAGTTCATCTCTTTGTTAAAAAGTAAAAAGAAAATATTTTAAATATACTGAAATGATAAATAGATTATCTATTATCTTCAGTTAAGAATTGGATCGCAAAATGAGGGCGTATGGAAAGAAAGAAAAAGAGTGCGAGAGGAGAGAGGTGTCCGAGCGCGGCATTGTGGAATAAGATTGTCCTGGGCCAAATACCGTCTAATGACAGGTTAGCGCAAGTGGAGCCCAACGTCCAACGTGCGATGGGCCCGGCGAACTCCGAGAGTTCAGAGAATACACATAAAGCCGAACGACTTAATACCGCAATTTTATCATTCCGACTCTCCGACGGAGACCCGTACCCGTGGCGCCTCCTCGGTTATCTGCGGTCTCGAAATAAAATCACGGTATCTGCCGTCCCTTCGTTTGTATCCCCCCGATTATTAGGCAAAACTTGACTATCATAGGCCTCTCCTCTTCAGAATCCTCTCTGTCCGAATCGCTTCCGCGAGAGTCTGACGGTGGATAATGAACGCTACGGGAAAATACATTCCGCGTATCCCGTTCACCCCTCTCCATCTCTCATCGCCCTGCCGGTTTCTTTCGCTCCTTTTAAATATTTATTTGCGTCCGCGTTTGGAATGACGATCTGCAGCGTCTCCAAAGAGAAGAGAAAGAAGAACGTACTATTCGCAATCTCCGCACGATTATTCAACGACGCGGTTAATTAAATCTCAGCTCGTAATTACGGTCCTATGGTTGAAACATGGGACGATTGAAAGGACGCCGATATGAACCGGTGCGTAAAAAGAGACGGTACGCGCGGACTTTATGAGCGTTACACCACGTGCAACGCACGCCCGTGGGGTACGAATGACCCACTAACCAATCGAATTACCGAACCACCGTCGATTACTACTCTGCTCCACCCACCACCGCGATTATAGCAGCGTGTGCCCGCGAGGGCGGGAGGGGTTTTCATGCAATTTTGCAAGAATTTGAATAGCTGTTCGTAAAAAATATAATGCGCCACGTCGGAGCAGCGGGCCACGTCGTCGTCGTTTTTATTAGCCCACGTCGTCCCACGTGGCGAAGAGAAGGAAAGGGAGAACGGAAGGGGACGAGTCTAGACGCTTGGCCGGGCTCGGCCACCACCATTATTATTACCGTTAGAGGATAACTCGGTGCATAGCTAAATGTGGGAACCCCGAACCGCGTCGAAGCAGACGGACGCGTTCGCTGAGATTTTTACGAACGTTCGACCTTTTTTCCCTCATGCCCCTGCAATCTCGCGGCGCTTCGTCGTCGAGGTGCAGACGAGCAGCAACGAACGACGAATATATGCCTGAGCGAGAGGGGGAGACAGGGAGAGAAAGAGGGAGCTCGAACTACCGAACTTCTGAGTTTAAACGGCGACGGCGAGCGACGCGCAGTTAGACCCTCTTATTTGAGAGCGCGACAGCAACAGCGAGCCGCGCGAGAACCTTTCCCAGGAGAGTGAAGGTAATGATCGTCGTAACGGACGACGTGGAGAAGCCGATAGCCAACCTGGTGACTTTGTGTTCCTCGAAGTATTTTGCGCGCTCCGCCTCGTCCATGTCGAGGACCTTGTTCTCGAAGATGCCGCTGAAGGGGATCAAGATCGCGCCCGCGTCGTTCTTGTCAACCCACTCTTTTATTTTGATCAACCTGCGGAAGAATACGAAAAAAATACAATGCAAGACAAATCACTCTGAGCGAACGTCGGTCGCTGCTCGAAACATCATGTTGATACGCACCATTTGTTCTTCTTGCGTATGTAATCTTTCTCCGACAAGTTCACTAGGTAGATGATGGGTTTCGACGTGAGAAACAGGTATTTGTTGAGCACCTCGATCTGAAAGCAGAACGTCCAAGTGAGGAACTAACTCGCACGCCAAATACAAGTATCGGATGAGTATCGAGAGGTTTGGTTCGACTTTCAATTAACGGAGAGCACAATCAATTTTTATTAAAAGTTGTGTTCTTTGATTCAATTGCATTTCTAATTAACAGACTGTTAATATTATACTATAATACCCGTTTTACCGTTGGGTCTTTTATTTACTAAGTACATAATTGTTTGTTGTCATGAACTTTATAAACTCACATCATTGGCACTCCAGTCGGCGAACCTGATGTGTTTCTTCTCCTCCATCAGAACGCCCTTAACCTTCAGAAGCGTATCCTGAGAATGAGATGTCGATTAAGCATAAGATTTCCGCCCAAATGGTTCAGGAATGCTGTTGCTCGTGCACCTTGCGTAACGGCCGCGATTCTCAGTGATCGATCCCGATGACCGACCTCGTCGTCGATCTCGCCGGCCGGCCAACGAGATTCGGTTGCACGGACGAGCGAACAAACGAACGAAACGCGGCCGATCGAGGATAGGATAATTTCGCGATCGAATCGTGATTAGAGGATTGTACACGTCGGCCGCGAGGTCCTATTAGTTCCTCCTCTGCCGCCGCTGAGAGAAAGAGAGAGGACGAAAAGGTAGCTTCGAATCCTCGAAAACTTTTGCCAAATTGCGAAGTCGAGACCGAGGGGGGAGATCGGTAATTGCCAGGGGGTCAATCCGCGGAAGGAGGGTAATCCGACGATCGACTGGTTCCAGGAAGCCCCGCTTCACCCGCGTTCTCTTAATTTCCTTGGTAATTTCGTAGTTGCTCCGACAAAGGGGCTGCGATATACTTGTGAGTAGATGCTAGGGGCAGGTAGGCTCATACGTCGCGTACGTACGTATGAAGCTTGAGCGAGAGGGTTGAAAAGAAGAGAGAGAGAGAGAAAGAGAGAGAGAGAAAGAGAGAGAGAGAGAGAGAGAGAGAGGGAGGGAGGGAGGGGGAGAGAGAGAGAGAGAGAGAGAGAGAGAGAGAGAGAGATAGAGAACGCGAGGAAATTTCTTAGAGTCTCGTGACGAGGAAATTTGCTCGGCGAAATCGACAGGAACGATGGAGTAACGAGCACACCGGGGTCTTTAGTACTTTAAACGTGTCTACCGCTCGTTCCGAAACCACGGAAACGAAGGGCTCCCATGTGCGAAACCACGTTGCGGCTTCGCAGGTATTTTGTATGTGAAAAGGTATGCGCGTACACATACATAGATAGTAAATGAAACGTTGCACCGAGAAAGAGAGAGAGAGAGAGAGAGAGAGAGAGAGAGAGAGAAAGGAGGATTAACGATCGTGGATCGCGTGGTTTGCTTGTAGAAAGCAACATGCGTATTATAAGCGGGTAAACACCCGCGTAAAGCGTAAACACGCATCGATGGAAACGGGTCGGTCAGACGACAAAATCGTCACGGCGGTTTTTCGGAAAGCGCTCGCGGGATTTATGAAATTATCGCGATAATAATGGTGATGTCGGGATAGCGCGGAAAATATTAGTAGTTACATCATGTGGATTGTAATATATAAAGTAATTAATACGACAGGGTTACACAATAACATTGACAGCCGATATCTTAACATCTGTTGTAACAATTTTGAGTTTTTCTCTTGAGTAGCTCTAATTGTTTTCAAGAATCGATGTTTCACGATTGTTTTTCTTCCCCATAGGTTTTTTACAAAAAATAAAAAGGAAATTTACTTATTTTTTTTTTTAATAGAATTAGAAAACTTTAGATTTTAGAGGAAATTTTAATGGAATAAAACTTTTATAAAAATGCAAGAAATTAAAAAATATTCAGAACAATTTAAAAAATCTATTAAAAAAATTCAATTAAGATTTTGTTTAAATTTATTAAGAATCTAATAAGATTAAAAATGTTTGCAACATTTTATTAAAAGAAGCAAAATATATAATAGTAAAAATAAACAAGAGAATCTCTATAGGAGAATAGAATTATCTTTCAATCATTCTTACGAAAAAGGCATGTTCTTCGTTCGAACGATTTTTTCTTTCTTTCTCAAGAGAGAAAGAAAGAGGTAATGATCAGATACTCACGTATTCAGGCTTCAATTTCTTGTCGTTGCCGCGAATAACCAGCTTCTCGAGTTTCTCGAGGTGCGTGTTCAAAAATTCTACATCCTTCAATCGCAGCTCCTCGCTGATGATATCGAGATCTCTCACGGGATTCACGTCGCCCTCCACGTGAGTGACGTCGTCGTCCTCAAAGGCACCTGGTGCGGGGAAAGAAGGATAGGGGCACAATGAGTAGATCTCACGAGTAGCGGGCGGTAGAAAACGCGAGCCACGCTTCTGGGCGTTCGTCTTCGTGAGTAACACTCGCCTCGACGACGACGAAGCTCTCGCATGTCGACTGTTTAAGCGAGCCACCGCCACGCGAAGATTGCCGGGTTGCTTTAATTGAAAAAATTACCACCTGTCGGCAGCCCGGGCAAGATGTATTAACCGGCGAAACTGCCTTTCGAAATGTTATTCTCAGTACGAATGTAATATCTAGCCGACGATCATTTTGCGTGAATTACTACGTGTTATATTATAGCGACGTGAAACACGAGCAGGTTAACGCTCTCCGCGACCCCCGCGGACACGAGAAATCGAACGTCGCCGTGCGCCGTGAGCGAATTTTCATCGACGATCATACGATACCGCGCCGCGACGAGAAATCTCCAGAGCGCAAGTTGACAAAAGAAAATTCAACTCAATTGCACAATCAATAATGAAGATTGCCGCAATCAAATTAATCTGCACGCTCCCCTAACTGAACATTACTGCGATCAATTGAATTCCACACCTCCTCGTATTAAATTCCTCTCACGAAGAAACGCAAAAATCCAAGATAAAAATGAATTCGCGCGAAACGTAAAATTTCGCCACTTTCGACGAAAGATATCAAATCCCTCCCTTCTATACAGAGACAAAATTTCTCTTTTCGCATAAAACAAAGTCGCCAGCATTTCCAGTGTGATTTGCAAGCACAAGCGTGAGGCATACGCGCGTTTATTTATGTATCGCGGGCACACGAATTCGCACGTGAGATAAGCGTAAATCGCACGATTCTATTATCGTCGGGCGTAATAACGCAACGAGCTTCCAGGAAGGTACTTAACGGCGGTCATAACGCGCCGGTAACGCGCCTCGCGAGGAACACGTTGTATTGTGCGCGTCGTAAAACGACCACCGCCGCGCGATCGCGCGAAGTGGGTAAATATCGCTCGTAACTAATCTCCCGATCCCATCGACGAAAATTCTCACCTACGCCAATCCGTAATCACCCTTATCGAGCAATATCGCGCGCGGAGGGCGTGTATTCCCGCGCGAAACGCGGTCGCTCGTTGTTATCTGTCTTCGCGCGAGGATGCACAACGCGCGACGCTTCGGCGACGAGAGAACATTAAAACGGCTGAGTGAAATGCAACGAACAATAACCGAGGAGGACAAACGGACGACGGGGGCTCGTGACAATTGACGTGATACTCACGACAAAGGTGAAAGATGCCGTCGCAAGCTCCGATATGTGAGAGGAAGCTGTTCCCCAGCCCCTGTCCCTCGGCCGCACCCTTCACCAGCCCAGCGATGTCCATAACGTGCAGGAAAGCTGGGACTTTGCTGGAAATTCCAAGTTCCGGTTACGAATACTTCGAATTGCGATCTTCTCCGCTGAGAAAGGGGAAGCAACGGCGCGAGATCTCGTCCCAACGAGATCGCGTTTTTATCGCGTGTCTAACAGGGCTCCGATTCCCTCGCCACGTGGGTCAGGGCGATGATGACGGGCGCGATTAAAGGTCGAAGGCATGTGCCATCGCGACGATGCACACGTTCGTTCGTTCGTTCGTTCGTTCGTTCGTTCGTTCGTTCGTTCGCTCGCTCGCTCGCGCGCAGAATGGAAACGAGGGGAGCGGCCGGTGACAACGAGGTATATTTAAATGCTAATGCCAACGGGCTCATTAAACAATTAGCCTTTGAAGGGAGGCGTCGGCGAAAGTGGACGGACTGGCCGTGGCGTGGGACAGGGAGACAGTGTATTAGCCGGCTTTCATCACGGATCGTCGAATCATCCGACACGTGCCGGTAGTCGGGGTGGCTGCTGCCGCCGCCGACATAGACGAGAGAACGATAATGGAGCGAACGCGCGCGAGAGGCACGGATGAATCGGCCGCTCTTTGATCCGACCGGCTGTTTCGCATTTTCAATGTTTCGATTCACGTCGAATCTCGTCGCGCAAGACAAGCGCGATTTACATTTAGCCCGAGCGCATTTAGCCGCTCTGCGACCCAGCCGGAGTTTTATTAGCCGATCGAGATTGATCGGTCGGCTGGGACCGCTCTCTCTCTCTCTCTCTCTCTCTCTCAACCCAAAGTGACACGAGGGGGTGACGCTCACGTCTGCTAATCAAATATTGTCGTTTCTCCAATCAAGACGCCGGATTATTCTCCGTTCAGTGTCGTGTCCATAGAGCTTTCGCTGTCAGTTCGACGTCGCTCGCGCTCGATACTTCGTCTCACACGCAAAAAAAACTCCATGACTCGGGTAGGTCTGATTTATGTCACATGGTGTTGTGTTGGGCATAAGTAGATTGAGATCTTGCTTGCAACAATCGACGAAACAATAATGAAAAGCAATGTGCGTAATGATTCGATCGGTTGATCGAATGAATTGGTTAATCAGCGTGTATAATGAGTCAAATCAGAGGATTCGATTAAAACGGTAATCGCGTAAACTTGACGTTAATTTTAATTATTTCAGTCAAGCGCGATTTCAATCGATCAATACTCAACATCGATGTCACATATGTGTATAATACAAATGACAATTCCGATATAACATCTATCGTATATTTAATTTACGTCTAATACAAATCAAAGCACATATCATTGCAAGTACATTTTCACGAGAAATACTCGCTTATCGGATAATCCGTTCTCGTCGTATGCTGAGACTCGACCCAAGAGTCGAACTGAACTCTCCGAATTGTCCGATCCGTACGAATTCATTATCGTCGACGCGTGTTTTATTTGCTCGTCGACGAAAGAGAATCAACCTCGGCCGACATTACCCTCGTCGACGTTAATCCGCCGCGGTGTAGCAACGCGAATAAAGAAGAAGAACATGTAGTACATCCGCGGCGAATACGTCGCCGCGGACCTCTACGTTTCGTAGACGAATTTCGCGCAATCTGCATTGCAGATCGACTCCTTTCGCCTTTCCTCTCAACCCACCCCTCCCCTGTCCCCCAACCGCGCGTTTCCACCGTCTTCTTGCGAGAATAAAAGCGAAGAAGTATGGAAATGTGTCCCCCCGGTTATTCCGACTCGTTTCCCTTTACAAGGGTACATCTTTAGGCGGCGCTGTGTATGCTTTTATTCCGCTTACACATTTACCCTTAACTCTCTCCCCTAACTCCCCTCCCCCCCCCTCTGCCCCGCCGCTCCGAGATATATTTTAGGAACGTTTCTCGTCGCTCGTTTCTTACCTAGCTGGCTTAAAATATTCACAGAGATAGTCGAACCTGGCGTCGGGCACCGGGACGCGACGTGCTGAAAAAGAAAGAAAAAAGATCGCGGATAGCTTCGTCTCTGTCGGAATACCATGAGAACGCGTTGACAACGATTGACAATTAATAATAAACGGTTCACGATAACACGAATAATCAATCTCCAGAGAGGATAGAACGCGGGGGCGTTCAAGTCTGCATCTTAAGTTGACGCGTCGCCCAACGGAATTCGAAGGTTCAATCGAACGCTCTCGATTCCAAGGACTCTTGACTCCCGTCTGCGACAACAATAGTATTTTCCGTTCAAAACGCATGCGGATTGGGCCTGGTCTTCACAGTGTCGGTGACGATCTTGACAATCTTATCCCGCTCAGCCATCCGCTCGTCGGTAACCTCATAGGCAAGGACCTCGTCCACATCCGCATTGTGGGTCTTCAAGTGGACGCCGATATAAATTGCCGCGCTGGCAGCCGCCGACAGGCCGATCATTTTTGGGCGACGTGCGGCGACTCGCTTCACCGCTTCGACCACCTGCTTCGCCACCGTGTGCTCTAAGAAGCCCCTGTCCGGCAGGTATCGCGGGTCGACTTCGCCAACAGACGCGATTTCCACGTTACAGTAGTCATGGTGTCTCGCGAGGAACTTGTCGCGGCACTCCTCACTGCAGAGAAGATACAATCCTTGGCCGAACAGCACGGCCAAGTCAGTCCTGCCGCGCGTCAGCTTGCCCTTCTCCGGTCCGTCGACGTAAGTCACCGGGCACCAGCCGTCCAGACGAAGACGTCGTTCCAAACAAACGTGTTTCACGTCGACCACCTGCTCAAATATCTGAGGCACTTCGTCGGGCAAGCTTGCAGTGTTGATTGGAGGTAGATACTGTCGCGGGTCTGCCGTGAAAACAGCCATGTGCCGTGGGCAGATCCAATAGAAGTGCTCTTCGAACTGCACCATCCCTTGATTGTCCATCCGTTGTCTGGAAGCTTGTTGAAGGACGTTCTCTCGGAACAGACAGACGGGACAGTACGATTTGTACTGACTCTGCCGCTCTTGGAACTCAAAAGGTGACACGCACATATGCCGGAGACTATGTATTTTGTCGAGGTCGGCATCACGCTGGTAGAGCGTGATCTCGGAGAATCGCGAGCGCACCGCGCGATCTGCCAGAGTCCACACGTTCCACTTGCTTTTCATGGCATCCAGCTCGACGACGTTCCGCGCGAACTTCTTCAGCCAATCTCGGAAACTTGCCTGATGCACTTGCCAGTTCTCGTAACGCAACATACCAAAGGAGAAGGAAGTAGAAGAAGCGTTTGTATCGCCATCATTCGCAGACTGGCATTCTAAGCAAAACAATAGATCCGCTTTCATGTCCAGCACGATCATCGGCTGCACTCCTGATAGGATCAGTTGCTCGGTTTCCTCACGAGTCGAAGGATAGTCGTCCAGGATGTAACCGTGCGAGATCGCGCGTGGCCCTAGAGAGAGTATTTCAATAGCGCGTGTCACGGAGTCGATGGAAGCCGGTTGACCCGCTCGAAGCTGATCCTCGGCCATCTGCGCCGATTTGGACCAACCGTAGTGTTTTGACATGTGACGCAAGGCTACATCGCGAGTGATTCGCTTAAGGCCATAGGTCTTGGCAAAACGATCCGCTAGCGTCGTTTTCCCGCACTTGGGTGGTCCGATCACGGCGATTCGAAGCGGTAAAGCTGACGGACGGAAGTCCCGATTGAGATATTTGGAGGGTTCCTTCAAGAATGCGGAAAGCGCGTCCTCACCGGCGAGGAAATAGATGTAATCCTGATGAATGACTGGAATGATCAGGCTATGAACCGCGGGTATGGATTCATTGGCGTATGCTTGCACCGGACACCATCGGCCGAAGGAGCTGAGGAAATAGTAGCCGCAATCGAGAAGCCGCTCGGCCGTCTCGAGGTCGATAACGTGCGGAGGACGTTCCTCATCGCTCGTGTTGTCTCCCGTCAATGTTGTTTCTTCTGTAGTTCCCAACTTTACTGCGTTCGTCGCACTGGTTGGGGTCTTGGAAGGAAGTTTTAAACAATCCACTACATATGTGATCATCTTTGATACATCTTCAAATTTTGAAAGTTCGCACATTATCACGTTAAATTTGTGCGTGCGTCGAATTTGCTCAATTTCATATTTAAAATTCGCAAATTGATCTTGAAAATACCGGTCATTTTTGTAATTAAACAGATATCTATTCCATAAAATGACGATGTCTTCAAATCTGATTTGTTTAATAACTGCCGTAAGATTCTCAATGGGAATTCCATCTACAACGTACCTTCCGTCCCTGTATAACTTATTCTTGAATGTCTCCTCCCATCTTTCTTCAATAAAATAAAGCGACTTTAAAACCTCTTCATTTGTATAATAATTAAATCTATTGTATCTAGTATCTGTCTTAGGCAGGATTTTTTTCATGTCTATCACCGTTCCGTCGAAGACCTCCGCTAGCTGCTGACTGAGTTTCGACTTGCCACTGCTTAACGACCCGCACACTGCTATTTTGCAGATCTCCTGGGGATTTGGCGGTGACAGAAATGTTCTTGGATTTTCGACGAACATGTCTACGGCTTCTTGAGACGACAAGAAGAAAATATTTCTTAGAAACCGCACTGCGTATTCTATGTACCCTTTTTTCTTTCGTCCTAGAGTCAATGCAACCGGGCAAAATTCGCACGCGTGCAATCTCCAGGGGTATTCGGCGGATACGATTTCTTTATGTTGTAAGATCTCTACCATTTCGAGCTTCTTAATTTCTTTTCTCACCTTTACATCTTCTTCAAGATTCGAATCGTCCTCTTCGACTGTCATCTGCTGAGGTAAGATCGACGGCTGCAGCGGCAGCATGCGTAGACGCGCGTTGACGGTTTGGAGCATACGCTGCGTTGAGCCACGTCCGTCCACACGGATCACACGCTGAGGATCGTACTCCAGGACCCATTTATCGATCACCGGCAGCGCCAATCGCATGTACAGATCGCACTGCAGCTCGACTTTCTGCTCCATATCGGAGAATCGTTCTGAATGATTCCTTCGATCGTCATTCACGATCGGTGGCTCTTCTGTATCTTGGTGAAGGTCAAGCGGCGAATTCGATCCATCCTCGGGTATATCTTCAACAACAGCGTCAGCTGTTGCTGTTTCCGCACGTTGACTGCGTTGTATAATCAGGCTCACGTCCTGCTTAGGGCACATCATGTAGATGATGATGGAAGGCTTTATTGGCCATTCAGTGAATATTTCGTCGACCTGCCGTGGGATTTCCCGTTCATGGTCAAGAAATGTCTGACAGATCGAGTCGTCGGGCAACTGATCGGGTGAATGGCTGCAGGATTCGGTCCGATCGCATATCTGGTCTCCGTGAACTTTTGGTCGTCTGCGATCGAGGCTCGTCTCGTGCGGAATGAGCGGCAGGCCCTCGACGACGTAGCCTCTGTGCCTGATATCACTCATATTAATCCTGCGTCGTATTAAATTCATGACGATATCCGGTGCTATACGTTTGTCGTTCGCTAAAGTTTCCTTCATACGTTGACCTTCCTCGCTGCCAATATTGATCTCGTCTTGTATCAACGACAAGGGCGAGATCAAGATGCAGTTCCAAGATTTAGCTATTGCTGAAGCCAGGTCGACGCTATTCAAACCAGGTTTTCCAAATATGATGAAGCTCGATGGATCGGTTAGAAGGTAACGATTCGTAGCTTCGTCCATATACCAAGCCTGGAGGGGTTCCTCAGTCGGCGACACCAGCGATGGAAGTTTTTCTTTTTTAAGCGTTTTGGCCGTGGCAATTCTCTTCTTGGGATGCATGTCTTCGGTGAAAGCGTAATATAAGTGAGCTTTCGGATATATGATCGAGGAAAGCGCATGTTCGCCGTTCTCTCGCGAGACGATCGACTCGACAGCGAGAAACTCCCCTGCGGCATGTTGCTTTGGCTCTTCTGAAGATTTGTCACACATTTATCTTCAGTAATATTCAATAATATTCGCGATGAATTCCCGTCGATGATCAATTCTTTTCGCGGTATCGTTATTTGACGATGCATTCAAGCGAGATTAAACAAATGAAGTTGAAGTCGCTTGTAAATTTCACTTTGGGTAAAACTTCACTGTAATACGTTATGGGGAGACGTGAGTCGTGCATAATGTGAAATCGAGAGCTCGATATTGGTGAGATGAGTGGACGTAATAAGGAGAGGAGAATATTTTGAAAATAGAATTCTTTTTGATCTCTAAAAGAGAGGGAGATTTTTAAATTGTAAATTTGAGTGTTAAATATAGGAATACGAAATAAATATTAAGACTAGATACTGAATTCTACATACAAGAAAACACATGCTGTTTTTTCAAGTAAATATTATATACAAGTATATATCAGCAAATCTATTATAAATTCGTCACGAGTACCAAATTTATTCAAAATACATCCTGAATTACTCAAAATATACTCTGAATCCTAGTAAGTTTAATATTTCAATCAAGAATATTAAATTAAAAAACAGGAATATTGAATTAAAACAAAATATTCATTTTGCTTCCTATATAGAATATAAATTTATAATACTTCTTGAAAAGAAAATTAATTTCTCTTTGGAATAATGAGTTTACTGAAAATTTATGAGTATATTTAAAATTATCAAAGACTGTTATCAAGAAAATATTTCACTGAAAATAACTATTACTTAAAAGAAGAAAGATAGAACGAACAGTTTCCTCAACAGTAGGATATTTTTCTCTGTATACTTTGTAACGGAACAAGAGAGAGATTCGTCGTGTCGTTAAAATTAGATTTATAAAGGAAATCGAGATACTTATTTTCATTGGGGTCAATGGTGCAGAAGGGGAAGTTCTCGGCCGCCGCTTGGCTCTTGGTGAGTACGTTGAAGAAAGTCGATTTCCCGACATTCGGTATCCCGACTATGCCAACTTTTAAGTTAGTACCTACGCGACCGATGAGCGGCTTCCGTTCGGGTTCCTCGATCTTTTTCGGAGCCATGCTGTGGAAACAAGCATTGCGTTAATACGCACCGGGTGCGTGCATCTCAATGCGCCCAAATCTGTCTCCTCATCTTCTGCAGAACGATGTTGCGGAACGAGTGCCACGCGAGCTCAGTAGTCCCCGGTAGCCAAGTGTGACTCAATGTCATTGTCGGGGTCATTGTCGGGAACACGCATATCTCATCGACCGATTGTTGCGATTTTCACTCGCGCGAAGTTTTCTTCGCAAGGCGCAGCGACGGGGAGGACTCGTTTTGCGCACTTTCACGCGATTGATACTTCATCGCACCGCCGCTGTTACAGACGTAAGAGCAGGTGCTTCAACTATTCTGAGCGCGACTAAATATAAATTCGGGCAAAGCAAGAAAACGATGGTGCTTCACATCGTTCATCATTTAATAGCCGAGGAACAGCCGAGTGACTGCGTCTGTCGTCGCGAAGAGCCGCTGAAGGGCATGCTGTCCCCGATACTCGCATTCAGCCGAAATACTTAAGCGCGGCTGCGGCGATATTTCGCGTGTGCGTGCGCCGCCCGGAGCGGAGCGAGGCGGAATCCGCTCCCCGGCATCGCTCTCGAGTGCTCGCGGTAACTAATTATATTAATGCGGACGGCACATCGAGTGATTGCTGTATTTACCGTGAGATTGAGCCCCCTCCCGCCCGTCTCGCCCCGCCGCGGCATACGACGGGCCGCGCTATATCAAAGACTGAGAGGGTTACGCGAGACTCGAGAGGAGGAAGAGGTAGACGCAAGGTAGAGGAGAGGTGCAGGAGAAGCAGCAGAGGGAGGGGGAGGAGGAGGAGGAGGAGGACGAGAAGGGAGAAGGAGCATGTCCGGGCGAGGGGACCCGGGATTACTGGGCACCAAAGCCGCGAATCACCGGCATCACGCCGAGAATCCGCAACCGCGCCCGAGGCCGCCAATCCGCCACCGTCTTCGCGGTTCCTGTTCCTCCTCTCCCCACGCTTGGCAGTCTACCTCTCTTTTCACCCCCTAAGCGATCCCTCGGCCTCCCTCGCTTTCTCTCTCTCTCTCTCTCTCTCTCTCTCCCCCTCATCCTCCCCTGTTCACCGCAGTCGCGCGTTTCAACGCGAAACTACGGCGCCTCGTGGTCGTTTTTCATCGCGGTCCCGGGGAAATTTGCAAATTACGATAATGGAGGAGCGTCTTCCTCCCCCTCCCTCTCCCTCTTTCTCTGGCGAAGAGTGTTCCGCTCGCGATGCTACCTCGAGAGAAAGAGACAGCCCGAGAGAGAGCCACCTTGGCGCCGCGGCGTGACCGACCCACCCCTTTTACGACGTCGTCTCGCTTTGCAGATCGCTAGACGCACACGACTAACGCGCGATCTCGGAAACGCGCCATTCTGATCAGGATCGCGTCCGAAGCCGGCGTTAATCGTGAAAAATCCGCGGAGCAGATCCATCCCGAGCGGAGCAGACGTCGGCAATGCGACACGACGCGACCAGTCAGGCTGAGATCACCAATTTTAGATGCAATTAGTAACGATGACAAACTCGCTCGACTTGTATTCTCTATTTCCGAGCAACGCATTTATACTTTTATTCCGCCATATTTCGTTCGATAAGCGAGTTGATATAACCTATGCGCGATTGATCATCGATGAACTTCTCGAGCTTATAAAGCTTATTCGAGCTTAGAGACGGGTCGAAGGTTAGAATATGTACATCGCAAACCTGAAACCTCATGCAACCGAGTCCCGTGAACACCCGAGAACAAGTCCGTGCACGACGTAACGGCGACGCATCGCCGCTGCAGCGTATCGATTCGAATGGCGGCGCGCTGAGCCTTCCATCCCGCCGTCGTCGTTAGATGGTGCTGCCGCGAGGCGGCCGACGAGCGAACCGAGCCATTGCATCGCACCGCAAAACTTAACCTCACCTATCAGCACGGGGACGACGAACGCATCTGGAAAAAGATGTTACATTCCGAGTCGCGATGACTCGCCGACGTCGCGGATTCGGCCGATTCTCGCAAATTCAACGAACATGTCGCGGCTCTTCCGTTCCTTTTCGCATGCACATATTCTCTTTCTCTCTCTCTCTCTCTCTCTCTCTCTTTCTCTTTCCCTCAGCCATGTCCGCGATCGTTCGCGCACGCATTTCGCTGCGGTTGTATCCGCGAATCAGAACAGACGACGGCGCGCCTCGCACTCGTTCCGCACGCGGCGTGTACTGTAAATCACGCAGCGCAAAATACCTGACACACCCGCGTCACGCAGCCACAGCACGAATATTCACAATGCACACAAAACGTGTCGACGCACGCAGGAGAGAGCACACGGGGAGAGCACCACGACGACGTCACGGCAATCCGACCGGCCGTCGACGCGGCCTGCAGAGATTCTACGTACCCACCGGAATAACGTCGAGCGCCGTCCGCGGAAGCTCCGTCGATAAAGCGCCGGGTGCGAATGCCAACTTGCCCCTGTCGCACGCTCGTGATATCCCGCATTATTTTTTCTCCGTATTTTACGCAATCTCACTTCGATATATTTTCTGCGTGTATTTTTACCAAAAAGATGATAACAAGATTGGCTACGTTCAGAAAACGCATAGCGCTCAGTGAGCGATTAGTGATTATCGGTCTTTACTGTTAGATCTTTATTTGGACCAGTAACGTTAATGAATTACTCAATCGTTGTAACCGTTGTGTTTTCTGAACACAGCTATATTAATTTCGTCGCAATATTAAGACCTTTGCACGTAAAAAAGCGTTAACCGTAAATCATAATTTTAGTAGTTTCCGACACATACAATTAAATAGAGTAATGCAAGTGAAATTCTGTAAGCGTAACTTTAAGACGGAATTTCACTTGCGTTACTCTATTTAATTATGTGTTGGAAACTACTAAAATTACGGTTACGGTTACGGTGTACGCTTGTACGCTTTTTTGCGTGCAAAGGCCTTTAGGTCAATGTCGTCTTCTGATTGGTTCGTCTCCCCCGAATAGCCAATGAAAGTTATGCATTTTCGATGAACCAGAAAAATCGATATATAATCGAATGTAATCGATGCAATGGCTGGTAATGCTAATATATTGAAGTTCACCATCTTGATTCGTCCATTTCGAATTTGGAGGTGGTACTGGGTGGTAGGTGGTCTCTTCGCTCCGATGATTCCGGTAAGTTTACTTCGAGATTTTGCGCTTGAATGCCTCTTCTTCGTTCAGAAAGTTGTCTCGTCACATAATGTTGCGTGTAGGCATACTGACATACACATAAAAATGATAGCGTACGGATGTAGCACCGCGGAATCGCGTTGTAAAGCGGGACCTTTTCGATCGTATCAGCGTCCATATTGCTTTCGGCATCCCGAATTCGGTGATGAGGGATATAGGAGGAGCATATTCCGGCCAACGATAAAATATCTCGATAACATCGAAATGACGTCGAAACGGCGAGAAAATGATCAAGTCGCGACTAAGGAGCGAATTTTCGCTCATTTTCTCGCTACTTTAACGTCACTTCGATATCTCGCGATTTCCTGCTCTGCTCTACGCACCATTATTCACGAACATTCCGCCGATAGCATCGTAGTAATGTATGTTCGTCGCGATACAACATTCGTAATTATCTTCTAATTATTGGCGGCTACATTTAACGCGCGATTATTAGAATTATCGGATTGTCTCAATGCTCCAATCAGAGCCGCCGGCCATTTTGGCTATTGAAGCATGCGATCGGACGAAATGAAAGATATGCGGTCTGAAGTTGGCTGCTTGAGTTACGCACTTTCAAACGGAAAATGTATTATCGGCCAGCTTATCGTTCTTCGTTTCTTTCCCAGGATTAATGGGCTAGATCAGTCGGGTTTGTTCGATCATGAAAAGTTCGAGCATTGTTGACGAGGATCTACCAGAGCATGGGCGATAATTGTCTTCGTGAACTTGAGTCGAAGCATGGAAAGTCGTCGCGAAGGTGTGAGATAGTGCCGTGTGCAACATCGTCCATTATTGTCGATCCTTCTCGAAAAATTCGCGAAACGTTCGGCAGCGACGGTCACAGGTACATTTATAATTTGTATTATCTGGGATATTTCATTATTGCTTTTGATCGAACGGTATGAAATTCGATAACGATGTCTAATCGTGATATGGCATAAATAAATAATCGTCGAGATATCTTGTTAATCAAGAAACATTTGATTGAGTGAGCGGGAAATGGGGGGGACAAGAATATTGCATGTCTAAATTTCGTCGATTGTCATGTAAATTTCAATATTACATGACGATACGAATATGTTGAAATTTACACAATAATATACACGATGTCGAATTGTGCAGGAAACGACACGCGGAGTGTAAAATTTGAGGAAACGCAGTGATCGCTGTTTCATCTCTTCTCTTCATCCTTCATCTTCATCTCTCTCGGGACACTCTCTATGGACTTTTTACAGTTAGGAGGTTAGTGGTGAGATATTATTATTTTCGATAATATTCCGCTATAGTTTAATCAAACGACAAAATATTTATGGAGATAGTTTTTTAATTATATCCCATCAATAATTATCGAGATAACATCTCAGTACGCATTATTCGAAGCTTTAGTCTTAATCATTAAAGAATTTTAAGACATTCATTCACACGAGAGACAAAATAAATTATATAGCAAATCTAGAGTTATTTGAGTAAATTCAGTTTCAATAGATACTAAAAGTCATGAAAAAGCTGCAAAAAAGCTCCAGACACAATAAAGTCAGAAGGACTCGTATGTAAACAAACTCGTATGTAAACATTGATCTTGAAATGTTGTCATACATTATTCTGCCATGACAAACAGAAATAAATGGTTGTTATAAATTGTTTAATGGTAATATTATCGTCCAAAGGTAACAATGATACACAATCTATGTGTATAGACCAAGTTAAGTTTAAAAATTACACTTCTATCATTTCTTATATTTAGCATCAAAACTATATGACATAGTTATAGAGGATTAACAATGGTCTTACGGGATACGTGATACACGGAACACAAAAAATAAAAGAAGAATTCGTGACGAGACGGAAATCCAAATTTTCGCACAGACGCGCTCATTGATTCTCTCCGTCTCTCGCGCGTGGTTCTCGACGCATTTTTACGCGAGACAGCTCGTAAACACAACGTGCGTCCGATGTCGATGTCCATCGGCGGACGGATAACGATCGACGCGTTGTAAAGGGCCTCGCTCCGATACCGCGACATGACGCCAGTCCATGTTTATGAAGTGTCGCTATCACGACACGGCTACAAGTTATGCCGTGTATAGCCGCTTCCTGCCGGGACAGGCTACGAGCGACACGATATGTACCGCGATATATATGAATGCATTCTAGCCGCAACGGGGCGAATATCATTCGCGTCACTCCGCCGGTCGTCGATATAGCGCCGAAGATTTACGACAGCGAAATCTCGTGACAATGTCTCGTGTTCGCGACGGCGGAATCGGCCGTCCGTGACGCTGCGGAAAATATCCGCGCGTAGCATGTTCGATACCAGCGAACTTTGGCGAATTACTGCGAGTCGCTGGTACGATAAGAGGAACGGAAAATGTCCAACATGGAATTTTTGCGAAGTGCGCTTAAGACGATTTGCGATCTGCGACAGAATCTACGACGGAATCTTACTTGCGCGAAAACATTTGGGAAAATAAAATAAAATTATATACAGACGTATTATATTATATTTGTTATTTTGTACGATAAATAAAATTGTAAATAGAATTCTTTTCCGAATTTTGTCGCAAATTGCAAATTGTTTGGATTCGTTTTAGATGATCTATAATTTGCGATAGAAGTCTATCTTTTTACCAGAAAACATTTGAAGAGAAAGAAAACGTGATTATACGCAGTATAATATTACTTATAAACGTAAATTTACAGATATATTATATAAATTATATAGAATAAATTATATAGATGTATACGCATATAGAAAGATACGCATATATAAATTTTCAAGTGATTTTTACATTGCATGATATTTGAAGTAACAAAAGGAACATAATCTTGAAAATTATGTCGCAAATTGTCCAACATATGCTTTAAATATACATCAACAGCGCATTATTTATTTGAAATATGTGACTATATTTTCACCTATTTCATATGGTCTAGATATTCTCATATATCAAATATATTTATGCACCTCCTGTCCTCAATGTTCTCGTATATTTATATGTCATATATTTTTAAATTCTGATTCTCACATATTTTTATATGTCAAATATTTATATGTCCTTTTTTTATTTTTTGTGTTCCGTGTGCCGCGTATCCCGTGAGACCATTATTAATTCTCTATAACTATGTCATGTAGTTTTGATGTTAAATGTAAGAAATGATAAAAATGTATTTGTAATTTTTAAACTTGACTGTTTTTTATAGGATAAATTTGAGTAAGATGGCTTTACGAAAAAGATATAGCCATAGAAATAACCATTGGCTATTTCTCTAGTAAGTAATTTCTCCAATATTTGCTAAGTAGTATGTTTTTAATCATTCTTAAAAACAATTAATATTTATAATAATTTATGTACATATATTATTATTTGGAATAACAATATCGTGAATCATCATGGCCATCTTACCTCAGTTTACCTTATATCTCATTTGTGTTTGATATATTTGATATCTTTATTGAAATATTCTTTCCGTATTATGCAATATTTATGCATTATATGACATATATGCATTTTAACATATATCTTTATTGAAATATTCTTTTCATATAAATGCAATATTTATGCATTATATGACACATATGAATTTTAACACATATCTTTACTGGTATTTTTTTTCATATCTACGCAATATTTATATATTATATGACACATGTGCATTTTGATAAATTATGTCTTTATTGGAATATTCTTTTCATATAGGTGCAATATTTATGCATTTTGACACATATCTTTGCTGAAATATTTTTTCTATACATATGCAATATTTATGTTACGACACTATATAAATCTGCATATAACCGCGACATTAGCTGAAAGTAGTCACCGCGTTTGCGAAAAGTTGCTAAATAATCCAGATGGTATCCTAATAGCGGTTTCCGACAAGAACCGCTCTAAATTTCGTGCTCGATTATTAGATCGCCGATGGCTCGTACGTGTAGCAGGTACGCGTGTATCGTGGATAACATTAGGCCCATAATTCGAAGGATAATATTAAGATTGGCACGGAACACAAAATAAAAGGTAACGCTTGTAGCCGTGACCGTCGGCGCCGCGCTGCGCCGCGCTGCGCCGTGAGATCGGACAAGGAAAGGGCAGGGCGCGACTATTCGTAACGACGACTTAAACGCGCCCGATTCCTCATTCTCTCGTCGTAAACACGAAAGCGTGTACTCGCGTGCTCGCTGAACAA